TTGTCTTTGCAGCAAAACACCCAAGTTGGGCTATTTTTATGCCGTGTTTGCTACCGCAGCAGAACGGAACCCCAAGGCGCTGTTTATCTCTCCGCATCCAGTAACGCTAAGCCTCTCTTTCTTTAACTCTTCACATTCTGATCAATGCTCCGGCTCCCATGACGGGAGTTCATCGCTGTGGAATCCTCGTAGGTGGCCGCTGTGACCTACTTCCACATGAAGCGTCTTGCACCTCAAAAGGCATTGACTTCTATCACACTCGTGTCACTTAATATCCCCGTGTGTCTTCTTTTTATGAGCGGCGCGGCCGCGCCGCTTTCTCTGCTTATATTTACAACCCGCATTTGTCGAGCCGCCGTCTCTCAGATGTTAAGCTTCTTTTTCTTTTCATATTTGCATAGTTTATCTTTTACCGTGTGTATATAGCGTGTCTCACACTCATATCACTTTTTAAAATGTTTTAATCCGATCTGAAGCTGGAGCGCTGCAAAATTAAATCAGTCTAAAATGAGAGCGGATGACACATGACGTAGTTTTTTTTTTTTCTTCTTCTTCTTCTTGTGTCCAGTCTCTGAGCAAACTTCCCCGGAGAAACACAGACTTTGCTTCATTGCTCTTAATCATCACTTCCCTCTTCAAGAGACATTCGCTGTGATTCAGGGCTGCTGACCTACTTGAGTGTGTGTGTTTGTATGTGGCTTATGTTTTGTCCTGCGAGGCCGTATCTGGTATTTTCATCTGTCCGAGGCCTGCAGCAGCCGTACACAGGCGCCCCTCCCTCCCCCACCCCCCTGCGCGTGCACACAAATACGCTCCCGTACTGTCACATCTCATTGTGCTCCGTCCTGCAGGCAGCCGGCAGGAAAAAACAGACGGATTCTCCGCCTCATTGTGGTGCTGCGTGAATCATATCTGCGGGCTCGTGAGAAAGAGTTAATTTAAAATAAAAAAAAATGGGTCCGCACGCCGATTTATGGTGGCAGTTTCTCGGAGGACGCTGGTGGTTCCGCCTGAAAAGAGCAGGCTGCTTGATGAAATAGAGCATCAACAGAACCGTGGGGGAGTATTCAAGCAATTTACAGCGAGGGGAAATCCACACAATACAGTCACACTCACATCGAGGGTCGAATCCAAAGTTGGCGCAATATCAGGAATAATACAAATGAGTCAAGGCTTTAGAAAAATGTGGGTATTATTACATGGGCTATTATTACATCATTTTACATGGATTATTCAGTGATGATCCTTCATAGGATGAACTATTAGGACCTTTTCACCCGACCTCGGTAGAAATATGCCTCCACATGTTTCACTCCCAGCCATCCAGAGGTAACAGGCTTCAAACGTTGAGTTAGAAACTGTTCCCAGCTTTATAATGTCTGGTTGTTGCGTGTTTGGTGGTCAGCTGGACCGACAGGCATTAAAGGTCAACGACTGGTGACATTCAGGCGGACGCGTGTGTGGTTGCTCGCAGTAACGTGAGTAAAGCGGTCTGCGTGGATGATAAAGGGACGAGCGCATTTGTCAAATTAAACGCCGTTTAAGGAGGAGGCCCTACGTGCTATTCTCGTTCCGCTGAGTCACCAGTCAAACTCGGCGACTCATTAAACCGGAAGGCGTCTTCAGTGACTGCGCGCTTTTGAACGCGTTGACTGATCCAAACGGCTTGTGTTTGTGGCGCCCGTGTTGAACTCAATTAAGTGAAAACTCTGAGCCATCATATTTGACCTTCCGTGCACGACCGCGGATAACGTAATTGGAAACATGTGGACTCTTTTTTTGCTCGTGATCTTCTGCTAGCGTTTAAACGACGTTGCTCCTTCCTCCTGCACAGTGCAACGCGTGCAACCTTGTGGAGTCCTCACTGATTCTCCTTCTTCCTCTAGTCCGACACTGCACTGCTTTGTTTACGATCCTGAGGCGTGTGCTCGATATCTTGTGGGCACCTTTCAGTCCAGATGAGAACCCCTCCGGACTCCAGACTGGGTTACTAAGTTGGTCTGGAGGAGTGTTTTTGGAAACCCTCCCTCGTGATACTTTGTGTCTCCTCTCTGAAGCCTGTCTTCCGGCCTTTTTCAAAAACCCTCCCTCCCTCCCTCCCCCGCCGCTGCTCCCTCGTCTCGATGTGCTCCTTAACCTCTTACCTTCCTTCCTCTTTCCCTTCCCCCCCCACCCGCCCCCCCGTTCAGATTTACCAGGCGCTGAAATCATTTTGAAGTAAGCCATATTAAATAGAAGTGTGTCGCTTAAGCTTTCCAGGAACAGACAGCGTGTTGTGTCTGCCCTGCGAGGACAGCGAAGAGATACCGAGTGGATGCACAATGTTAATACCACACAAAGAAGTGGGGGAGTTAAAAACGAATAAACTGAAGATGGGTCTTTGTCTTGAAGGAGCGTGTCATTATCCACAGTCTTTCTGTTGTGTCTTTCCTTTACTGCCCGTAGTAGCAGCACATGGAGCCCACATGTTGTGCAGATCTGTCTTTGTGTCAGATTTCACTCCTACGTGTGTGTGTGTGTGTGTGTGTGTGTGTGTGTGTGTGTGTGTGTGTGTGTGTGTGTGTGTGTGTGTGTGTGTGTGTGTGTTAGTAACAGACAGCGTCAGCATGTCTGCAGTGTAAGGTTGTGTGCACCTTTGCTTTTGTCTGCTTCGCTACTTCTCAGCTTATGTGTAATGTCAATTTGTGTGTGTGTGTGTGTCACTCTGCTGACAGTAAGTCTGGGTGTCACCTCCAGTCTCTATCTCACACACACAGACTGTCCTGCTCAGAATTAAATCCCTGTACCCCACCCTTTACGCGCGCACACACACACACACACACACTTTATCCAGCTCAGACCTATTAATGCTCATTTTATAATTCTTTAATCCATGGGGGGGGGGTGTGTGTGCGTGTGTGTGGGCGCGAGGAGTGTGTAGCAGAAAGCATGTGTCTGATGTTGAGGATGTGTCACTTGAAAGAATATTAAAAAGGGGTATTCGGTTAATGTGACACACAAATGTGCACACACAGCATGCTGTGTGTGTGTGTGTGTGTGTGTGTGTGTGTGTGTGTGTGTGTGTGTGTGTCTGTGTGTCTGTGTGTCTGTGTGTGTGTGTGTGTGTTGGAGTAGGGGGCAGTTGGGCAGGTGCAGAGACAGCTGGTGTGGGCAACTCTAACCGAGGGGGAGGACGAGAGCGAGGGGCGAGATTCCAAAAGAATGACTTGAATATAGGGTAGCAATCGAGCTGCAAAAGAGGGGGAAACGAACGTTTGTTTGAGTGTGTGTGCGTGTGTGTGTGTGTCGGTGCCAGTGGTGAGCTGCTTTGATAGCGCACACTGAGCCAGTGTGCTTGAGTGAGACAGATGGAAAAAGAAAGAACGACTGGGTGACTACTGAAGCACTTTCCATAGTGAGGCCGATTAATCAGAAGAATTAGTATTGATTGGCTAAGGGGAGGAAGGGAAAGAGAGGAACAAAGATTAATTTAATACAGCAAACTCAGCTTCTACTTTCAATCATTAAACGAGCCAAACATCTCCAAGCGGAGAGGGAACGCTCCAACCTGCAGCTGAGTTTGGGATTTATGACCGTAAAACTTGACTCGATTAGCTTTTTGTCTTTATCTTTGCATTTCACTGTGACTGATTCGTCTAAAGGTTATTTAAACAGAGACAGCCCATCAAATCACATGACCATCGGTGGTCTCAAGGGGAACTGTGACTGGGCAGATGTGCCGTTGGTGTAACGTCAGGAGTTCGGCGTGAGCATCTTCCCACAGCGTCGGACACACAGGAAGCCTGAAGTGAGCTCTTGACTGCTCAGCACAGTCGATGAGTCCAACTTGTTTCAGATGTCCCCCGGTAACCGCTATTGTTGACTTGACTTCTGGACATCAAGGTGACCGGACATCTCAAAGACGTCTTCTTTTTCTGCCAGATTGAGCTAGTTGTGTCCTACCAGTGTTGGGAAAGCAGCAGTAATGCCACGTCATAGTCAGAAGGAATCTTCAGACCAGATTATGTCTGTACCATTTGTACAATGAGGTCCGTGCATGACATCTGGACATTGGACAGCTCAGCTGTCCAATGTCCAGATGACCTCTCGATGTCTCCATAGGAGATGTACGTCTCAGGGTAAAGAACATGATGGTCCTCGCGCCAGGCCAGAGAGGTGGACAAGGCCTCCCTGTCTATCTTTCCAGTGTATATGTTGGCCCTGGAGAAGAAGACCTTTGAGTAGCCTTGACACATGACTTGTATGTGTTTCTGTCTTCTGCTTGCAAGTATTATTTAATAAATGTGTAATGATTTCACACCGGTGTTGAGTGCAATATGCACCTTCATATTCAAACGCTCATATATTGTATGGTAACTCTGCATTAGACCTCAGCTTATCAGTATCAATTTAATTTTCATTTATTGCATCTATTTTTGTTTATCAAATAAAAACGGACTTGTATTTCACTTTCAAAGTTATTTTTTAACCATCTGTGCCCTTTTCTAAACGCCCCTCGATGACTTGAAGGAGACTATTGGGGGCTCTGCTGCGGTGTGTCTTCACCTCATGCGTGACAGTCAGCAGTTTAGGGGCCAGCTTTCACTGCTGCAGATACGAGCCGTTGGATCACTTCCTCCTCGCTGTTACACACACACACACACACACACACACACACAGCGCACTGTGTCGTACGTACGTGTGTTCTCTTCACCTGTTACCTGTTTGAGTTTCTGTCTGCTTGCTCTCTTTTGTCTGTCCCACGCGGTGAGGTAATGGAAGGACGTCGCCCCCTAGTGTCCTGAAATGAAACCTTCTGATCTATTCTTAGTTTTCTGTGTCAAAGGAAAAGAGGGTGACTGTGTGTGTGTGTGTGTGTGTGTGTGTGTGTGTGTGTGTGTGTGTGTGTGTGTGTGTGTGTGTGTGTGTGTGTGTGTGTGTGTGTGTGTGTGTGTCATTGAGCTCTCACTTCTAGATCCCCTCCAGCGGTGCTAACTGTTTTTTCATTCCACGCTCCACAGGAGGAGGCCATCCCAGAGCTGGAGATCGATGTGGATGAGCTGCTGGATATGCCCAGTGACGTTGAGCGGGGAGCCAGGGTCAAGGTGAGGACCGGACACACACACGTGCAAAAATAAAAGACATCGTATTTACTAAGACTGTCTTGCATTGTCTTACAGGAGTTACTGGTTGACTGTTTTAAACCTACGGAGGTAAGATTCTTTTTCTCCCCCCTCCTCCATCCTCCTACCCGCCGACCCACTCGTCGGTTTGTGCATTTCTGGATTCCCCCCTCATGCGCTTTGTCCCCTCCTGTATCTCCGTAGGACTTTGTCTCGGAGCTTCTCGACAAGATCCGAGGGATGCAGAAGCTCTCCACGCCTCAGAAGAAATAATGGCAACCTTCCCCAACCCCCCCTCCTGCCCCTTTCCCACCACCCTTCCATCCAACTCGGCCCTCACCGTCTTCCTGCTTGTCTTTACTGTCATACTTCAACTAAACCTTGTTTCCTTTAATGGATACACCCTCCGCTTCCCGTTGTTCCCCCCCCCCTTGCCTGGATCCGGCCGCCATTAATTCCCTCTTAACCTTCAGCGGAGAAGAAAAAGTAAAGAATGCATATCGGAGGAGAAAACCACAACAAGTGATTCATTGGTCTTTATCCAGGCTCCTCTCCTGTCTCTTTTTCCACTCCCGCTCCTCCTTCGCCCTTTTGTTCGGCTCCACTCCTCTTCCTCATCCCACCCTGCGTCTGTCTGAGGAGGACGAGCAGAGGAGCGGAGACGAGACGAGTCCCATAATTACCCCGAGAGCGGGGCGGAAAGAGGAACGAGGGTCCGCATCGGCCGCGAGGAAGGGCGGAAGGCTGGCAGCCAATCAGCTTGGAGCGGGGCCCTAATCATCGCGTTTGTCGCTTCTAATGAGAGTCCTTATTTTGTTATTCGTGAGGGGTTTGAACTTGTAGACGAGCCAGCTACCAATCATGACTCTCTTGACACTTCCTAGTACAGTTTGAGGGAAAGGGAACATTCACTTGACTTTAGTTTTTCCGTCAGCACAGTCAGAGACGTTTGCTAGTGGTGCATTTAAAGACTGACGTTTTTGTGTGTGTGTGGGTGTGTGTGTGTGTGCGCGTGTGTGTGGGTGTGCTGAAAATCTGCACTATGTCATTTCTGAAGAAAATCTGAACCTTTGACCACAAGGACTTTAGTCCAGCGAAGAGGTACAATTTCATCCCATAATATGTTGGTTGAACCTTTAAAAAAAGCCACTGGCTGTTGTGGTCGTACATTCCAACCAATGGACTAATATTCTTCCTGTGAGGCTAAAATAGAAGTAGTTTATTTTAGGTGGGGTGTGCTTTTATAGGATTTCGGGGGGGGATAGCATATGTTTTTCTTTCCTTAAATGCGTAGTGCAGTGAGTGGTTCTTTAGAAGCCTTTGCTGTCTGCACATGCGTATGTGCGTCCGTGTGTTGCTAAATGCTACGTGTGCGTGTTGCTACATAATGTACAGCAACATTCATCATAGGAGTGTTTTTACTGGCCTGTATATTCTGCTGTTCTGTACGACAATTTAGATTTTGTAGTATAGGACTGGTTCCTGTTTTTCTGGTTGCATTCTCTCACACACACACACACACACACACACACACACACACACACTCTGACAGTCCAACTAGGGGACCCAGAACAAAGCTGCCTTGTTTTTTTTTGTTTCTTAGTCCCTTTCTATGTCCTTTTCACACTTTCTCTCCTTTTCACTTTATTCAGTCCGCCACATAATTGTGTATTTGGCGGACGTCATTGCAGAGCAGGCACAAAACTGAAAATGTCTCTGGAGCCCAGCGTTCGTTGGTGGCGAGACTTTGTAACGTCCCCTGACTGTCAGCAGACCCACCGATGGGACCTCTCAATGGGAGGGAGGGAGACCACTGTTTTACATTGAAGCTGTCGAAAAGCACTCGCCCTTCCTTTTCTTCTTTGTCGCACACAAACGCACACAGAGGCCACCCTCCGGGGGGGCGGAGAGAACGGAAACATATTCGCAAATACAGCTGCCTCGTCCGCAGATGTGCACACACACACACACACACACACACACACACAAAGTGCTGAGAGAGAGATCGAAGCTGTCAAAAGGTTTGTGTTTCCTCGCCGCAGCTGCCAATCATCTCTGAGAATAAGCCATCTTTGTCTCATCCTGAGCCAATCAAATCGGAGAATGAAGCCGACCGGCCTATAGGAGAAGTGAAAGCATTCGCTGCGAGTCCTGTGACCAGTCGGGAACACCTGCAGGGGACAGCAGTCCTCTGATGCCTGTCTCCTTCTCTCACTGCCAACACACACACGCACACACACACACACACACACACACACACACACACACACACACACTGGCCCACTTCTATCTTGCTGCTCTGTCATCCCCCCAACATCCACTATCTCCTCTTCCTCCCGGTCCGTTCCTCCCTCTCTCCATCCCTTCTTCCCGTTTCCTCTCCTTTTTAAAAAAACAAACAGATGTTGCCTTAGGTATTATTTATGTTATACAAACCAAATAAACGGGAGACATTCATTTTTAAAAAGGTTACGCAAACTGCTTAACACTTGTGTTACTGAGCAGAACCGCAGCGCATGAAGACTTGAATCTTCTGCCGCTTTCTTTCTTTTTTGAAAAACTATGAGATTCTGTTTTTTTTATTTGTTTTTTTTAGAAGTGAGTGTTTAATACTTAGGCCTTGATACAGTGATTTTAATTAGATAAAACAATGTTCTTGACATTTACCGTTTGAATACTGATCTGTTTTTATTGTGGTCATGATATTTCTTGATGCCCAGCCTTGGATTACCACGTAGTAGAACAAAAAATCCATTCAGGTACACTTTGGTGCGATTGCTTTTGCCTTCCTGGTGCGGTTTCCAAGAGCCTTCTGCTTTTCAGATTGTACCATGCAAACTCGATCAGTAGGTGAATTTGAGTGGATTTTAATTCCTAAATCCGGGGTTTGGATTATATCTTCTTAGACTGTTATTGAGAAGTCTGTTTTTTACTGTTGGGAAAAATTGCAAAAAAGTATATTTACGGATTATCATAATTGAGGCTAAATACAAGAGCTAAACCATGCGGATAGACGGAACGGGGATATTTTTGGGACAATGATTAGATTTAACAAACAAATGTAGCAATATCAACAACAGGTCTTATTTTTGCGCAATTTTGTTACACTTTTATGCAACTTTAATAAAAACATGTAAAATTTACTGAAATTGTCTTGGTTTATTGCGTGTGTCAATTCTCTACCTCAGTTATACAATAGATTATTATAAAACAGGATATTTGCTTGTATTTGATTCAATTCGTTGACATTAGTGTGTAATTTTGTCATTATAAAGATGTATTTTTAACTGACTTTTTTTCTGGAAGACATTGTTTTTTGAAGATGATCCATGTTCTATTTTGTAGGACATTCTACCTTGTGCAGGTAAATGATAGAAGTAATTGGTAACTTTTAACGCCTCTGTTCACTACGTGTCCATGAAACTCTGTGACTAGCATACACAATATCTGATGAAATTGAGAGCAGGCTTTATTAATGGCATTAGTTTTCCTCCAACGACATTCAAAAATGTCTGCAATAAAAAGGTGTTTTGTCCAAATGAAAGCGAGTTCCACCATTATCCTGGCAATGGCCTCTGGACATGTTGTGTTAGTGTGGTGCCATCTTGTGGCTGGTTGCAGTATCAATTCATACCCCAAAGCAGGAGTGTTTTGTCCTGCATGGTGGTTCATTTAAACCCAAGTGAGAATGATGCTTATCAACAATCTACAGGCATGATAAAAAAGAATGATGATGAAGTTGGATCCTTCCGTGACATGAATCTGTGTTGCATACACATTAAAAGAGTACCGTTTAAGTTTTTAGGATCATTATATAATTACGGATAATATTATAATATCCCAGATATTATGCTCTGTAAATAATATTGAGATTGAAAAAAGGGAGATGCGCGGTATTTTAAATCCAGTCTATTGGTTGATTCTACTGTTGCCAGCACTAAACTGGATTATAATTGGTCCGCTCAAACCTGCTTCAGCGTTTTGATTGGACGCGCGTCGTTAGGGGCGGTCGCTCCTCTTGGTCATCCTGACTCTTCCGCGACGGCTGGACGCTGATTGGTTCAATCCACGGGTCGTGAGAGTCCCGCAAAGTGTCGAACTGAAGACCGAAGTGAAGAGGAAGTACTTTTTAAAAATGGAAATATAGACAATGATACTTTAACTTTGTACTGCCGAGCAGCGGGAGAAAGGTAAGCCGACTGGTGCCGGGGCCGCGAGGGCTTATCCGTCCACGAGCAGCGGCGCCTGCCTCCACGGACGCAGGACGTCACTTGTTAATCCACGTACAGTTGAGAGATATGGTCGGAATGAAAGCCGCCCGGCGGCGCTTCAACCTACTTAAACGCATCCCCGCGGTCGTTATATTGCTAACTAACAAACATCGAGAAGGCAAGGTTAACACATCCGTGAGTTGATCAACTTGAGCCGCGTTGACGGTGTGAGGAGCAGCCGGTCATTTCCTCGCCGTGTGGTTTCGATTGTTCGCTAGCGATGCACTTGACTTCACGGTGTTTGTCTTTTTTTTTAAATGCCGTTATTCAGACGATAAAATGCAACGACGACCCTCTTTTTAAATCAATTTGACGTTTGCAAGAAAGAAGACAGCACTGGGGGTGTATAACCGCTCTGGACTCGGGTTGTTGTTTGCAGTCTGAACAGCGCCGCCGTCTCCATAACGTTTACAGTTTTACTGTATGACATCACGGACGCTGCCAGTGGTCACCACAGACTCAAACAGAACATCCGGTATGGCAACAAAATAAAAGTCCTATTAATGTACATAGAAAAGGTTTGAGAGATATGAACGGTCAATGGCCGCATTCTTTTTAATATTTGCCTCTCTGGCTGCTGTGTGTCAGGTAAATTAATTAAAATGTGTCGTCTTCTTTTCTTTTTTTTTAAACCTTCCGACGAACAAAACGGTGCAGATGTTCGTTCTGGTACGGGTTGTTTTTTTTTGCATGACAGATCTCCGGAAGCGACACGGTAGCTCGGCGTGTCGCGGGCTTCCCGGTGTTGTTCTATTCAAATTATTCCCCATCTGCACAGTAAGCTGCAATCAACCAGGCGTTATTGTCTTTTTGGACCACGCAGTTGCATAATACCCCTTTTGTCTCCTCTCTGTTCTTTTCTCTGTGGCTCACTATTGCAGCCCGTGTGCAGTGTCGTCATTCTTCAACATCAACCCATATGGAGCAAAATAGAAAGCTGTCAAACCAATTGGCCAACATATGTGTGTTATTTCATTATCTGAGTACATTTACTCCCTTCAGTAGTGGATGCATAAAAGGTCGGAACACATGAGTGTACCAAATGACGATCACAGCTCGACCAGAGAAGGAGAGCCACGATTTGGCTGACCTTTCACACCTTCACCCAAATACACTGCCTTTGTCTTTTTGTGTGTGTGTGTGTGTGTGTGTGTGTGTGTGTGTGTGTGTGTGTGTGTGTGTGTGCCAGCCATGCCCGCCCAACCCAACGCGAGGGAGCCGGAAGAGGAGATGGAGGCAGAAGGAGAGTCCCAACTCCCAGAGGCCAACGGAGAGGTGGAGCAGCTGCGTGGGGATGAAAGAGGAGATGGGAGAGGAGAGGAGACCATGGAGGAGAGCACGGAGGAGCGGGATAGCGACTTGGACGATAGTGAGGAGGAGGAGGAAGAAGAGGAAGAGGAGGAGGAAGAGGAGAGTTCAGGTACAGTGAAGTCCTCCGCTGTGTCGTTTTCTGATTGAATGCAACGCCACTCGTCTTAACTGTCTCTGTCTCGCTCCCTGCACGCTACGAAGAGATGGATGATGAAGACTGTGAGCGGAGGAGAGGAGAATGTCTAGATGAGATGCTGGATCTGGAAAAACAATTTCAGGAGCTAAAAGAGAAGTAAGCGGAGGCAGGAGGGGGGACTGAACTTGACACTGTCCCCCTTGGCGGGGTTTGAAATCACCCCGATCAAGTGGAAAAGGGGAAGGCTGACTCCACCGTGTGATTGCAGGTTGTTTCGGGAGCGGCAGAACCAGGTGAAGGTGAAGCTGGACGAGGTGCTGACGGGGAAGGCCGGAGAATACAAAGAACCACTGGCTGCACTACAGGAGAGCATGCAGATACGAACGCAAGTGGCTGGTAAGTACAACATTGAAAAACAGAACATGATGAGCTGGGATTTGAATCCGCTCGGAGCAAATCACTTTGACCACAGCGGAATGAGGCCACACCGATAACCATGTTACCGGTATAGATTTTATTCAATGTGGCTGGCTTGCCATTTAATGTATAAAACAACTTGTTGACTTGGCTTCAAAATACAATGCGCATTGTATGAATATTAACAAAAAAAAGAATGACGTAACAGTAAGTATTTTAAAATGTTCTCAATGTCTCAATTAGCCTGATACAACACTTGGCCAGTGTGTGGGGCTGTTCAACAAACGAACCTCTCGAGCCGAGCGAAGCGTCTCCAGTCTTTACTCTATTAGTGAGTGAGTGATCAATTCCAGCATGTAATAAACAAAGGTCCATTTAAAAATAAATGACGTGCGTTGAACTTGAAAAGATAAGAAACTGAAACCCGCTGCGATGAGTAGTCAGAGGTTTGGTGTCACTACTAAGGAGACAACCTGAACTAAAGGTCTCCTCCTTCTGTCTTTACCTGCAGGAGTGTACAAAGAGCTGTGTCTACAGGTGATCAAACACAAGTACGAGTGTGAACAACAAGGAGCAAAGCAGCACCTGGAGGTACGTGCCGCACACTCGCACAATGCTAGCGGAGAAAGTCCCCGAGGCCCAAAGGTCTGTATGGATTTGTGTCTGTGGGCTACAGAGCGAGCAGGCGTTGCTGTTTGACGCCATGAAGACCGAACTGCTGGAGAAAATCAGAAGACTGGAGGAGGACAGACAGAATGTGGACCTCACCTCAGGTCACCTGCTGCGCTTTGACTGACATTAAACGTTTGGTCACTTTGGTTAGAGGAAATTGGAATGCCAGTTTTAAAAATTCTGTTTATGCAATGAAAGATTGATATTTTTTCATTCCAGAGTGGAGTGATGAGCTGAGGGGCAAGCAGTGTAAAAGAAAGGACCTGCTGGGTGGGTCAGAGAGGAAAAAGAAGGTAGCTCTGGTTTCAGGTAAACGCACCTTTTCTCAGTCTGTCACCCGTCGACCTCATCGTTCACCTTTCACCCTCAAGTCGATTTAACCCGCCTCCCCCGCTGCCTCACAGGGCCTTTCATCGTCTACATGTTGAGAGAAATCGACATCCTCGAAGATTGGACTGCTATCAAGAAGGTAAAACAAAATGTGCTTCTGTTTCAGCTCCCACATTTTTACACTTAAATGTAACTTTGCACTTAATTAAGGGGAAGACATTCCTCGACATCAACGCCTCATACCACCCTACATAACAAGTAACCAGCTCGATGAATCCCAGCCCCACGTGTAGTTTGGTCATTTGCTCTCTGTGTGCTTTTCAGGCTAAAGTAGCCCTGTCGCCATCGAAGAAGAAAGCTGAAAGTGAGTCTGCAAGTCAACCCTTAGCGTAGATCTACAAACCCCACGGTGTTCAGAGACCCTCCATCCTGTAATCCACCTGCAATGATTGTTTCAGAACGGTGATAACGGGGGGATCTCACTGAAGACCACCAGGAGCAACAACCAAACTTCACACACGCACAACATTCCCAGCTTGACCGCTTGTTTGTTTTATATTGCTATTTAAAAAAGGTTCTTAAGGATGTGACAACCATGTATTTATAGAATGATTTATAACAGTAATTAAATTGTAATCTTTTTTTGTGGCACGGTTTTGCGTGTTCTTTCATTTGATGCTCCAGGTTTTCTGACTGTGAAACGCAGACGCGGTTGCAGTTGTGGGGTTTCGAGGGTGAACTCAACATTTAGAGAGGCCGTGCAGAACGTGTCACGGCCTCCTTTCAGCCCTCAAAGTACGTCGTGTGTTTTCCTGCAGTCGGTAACGTTATGTATGCCGTTTCAATGACATGTAAGGAAGAGCCCTGGAATTGGCTGTTTTCCGAAGCTCGTGCGCTTCCATGACAACGGCCCAGTGACGCGTTCAGGCGTAACTCGTTAAATGTGGGACAGACTTCGGTTGCGCTTTGTCACTTCGCTGTGATATGATCGAGTCAACGCGAGGTAGAAAATGAGGGAGGATTGAAGCCCAATGAGGAGCACTGACGAGAGACAAACACGTATAGTTGGATGTGGTTTAATTTGACACAAGGGATTACATTAACATTCTGCCCACAAACTGGGATCCAGCTTTTCCACTGGGAGCCATGACATCACCGCCCCCCCCCCCCCCCCCCAATCCCCTTCCTCAAAGGGGTCTGCCGAAGTTACCCGCCTGCCCCTCCCTGGCCCCCAAAGCCCCTTTGGTGTCCCACAGTTCGTCCCACTGCCCGCGGAACTGGGCCAAGTCTAACTGGCCCCACCCCCACCCCTCCGTCAAAGGGGGCGAATCCAACCTCAACTGCGTGGAGGGCGCGGAAAACTGCATGCTTCCCTCGCCGCACTGCAACTTCATCCTCTTGGCGTCGTTGAGGAGGGACTCCACGCTCACCGCCACGGACTCGCACTGGTTGAGGGACATGTTCTGGAAAGCGACGGGAGGAAAGGTCAGAGGGTCAAACGAAGCGGCATCTGGACTTTAAATGAGGATGCGGATTGGAGGCTCGGAGGCTTTTCAGCCGTCTGTCTGGGCCTCTCTGTGATTTGTTTTTGAGATTTGGTGCTCTACATTTTTTTTTGGGAGGGGCAGGAAACTTTACCGCCATCCTGCCAAAATATCAGATGAAGTGAATCAACAGCTCGCAGTCACAAGTCCAGCACAGGTTTTAAACCAGAACGTTTGATCTGCAGCGAGTGAAGTAGCTGAAAGAGGCTTATCGCGGCTTAGCTCGCTCTACAGTGGCCACCGCTCTGCGCTTCTCTTCTATCTCTATCCTCGCATCAGCCATCGGCCTGCATCGCTTGTGTCACCACTCTTCTTCTTCTTCTTCTTCTGTATACACACAGCTCATCTGTTCCCAAGCAGTAACAGCCAAATGGGGAAAGGTCTTACCATACGCTCCAAAGTCAAGCCAATCACAAGCTTCGTGGCCTTCTTCTGAGACTCGAGTGCGAGAAGGTCCTCGGCGTTCTCCAGAATCCGCTCTCCTCCCGGTTGTCCGCGTCCGACTCGGACAGCAGCTCGGGTGCTTTAGGTGACGGCGGCGCAGGTGAGCGGTGAAGTTCGTCCCTCAGAGGGCGTCTGTGGCCTCCAGGTATTCTTTTATCATCAGGCGGTGTCGGCGCGCGTCTCCCTCTCAGTCCCGTCCCACCTTTTCCCTCCCTCGCTTTCTCTTTAGTCTACCTCTGGGCTCAAGATAGGTCAGCTAATCTGCAGAGATTAGGCAGTTCAGGGAGTAAGAGGCTTGTTATAACAGCAGGTGTAAACGGTTTACTTTGACCTGCCGGGTAACCGCTGGCAGCACTGGTTTTTAGTTTGTTGTTTATTTAAAAATATCGAACCTGGAGGCCAAACCGATCCAGAAACAGGCTTCTAGAGGGAGGGGAACAGATGGCAGAATGAATATAGTATTATTCCCCCTTAGTGACCTTTACAGTCAACATTAAGATGATATCTCATCGCACAACATCATATACTCAGAATTGCCTTTGTTGATATAAAACTATTCTCCAACACTAACTTCCAAAAGGTACCAGTGAGTACTCCTCAGGGAGCAGCAGAGGGAGACACAGAAAGCACATTCATTGGGTTTGAACTCTTTGGTTTATTGGTTTAAAAACGCTCCATGTGTCGAGTAACATCACTGCAAACAGAAGTTAATACCTCAACATACCTTTTTTTTTATCCTAAACGCAGCATCAGGCTGGAGTACTGGATGAGCACCTCTGAGTAAAACTAGAGTGGGTATCAGATGTAACAGTTAGGCCAGTGGAGAATATATATTGTCATTAAAAGGAAAAATCCCCCTGAATTATTGGTAAATTAATATAAAGAAATCTTACTCCATTTCTATATGCAGTGATCCCCCCACATTGTTTCAACTGAACCGATCTGAGGTCAAACACTCAATGATTCAAAATGCCAATGTGCCTTGACATCAAATTAAATAATTTGTTATAAAGATGGGAGTAAAACTGCTTGGCACATCGTAGAAACAAAGTACAAACTACAAAGTCAAGGGATAAAAAATAAAAAGCTTTTTGAGGACCTTGTTAATTTTTTGTCTGTCACTCCCAAAATGTGTTAAATAAGAAACAAACGCCTGCCATAAACACCGTCTGCCCGCGTGACCCGGTAGACATGAGTAGATGCGGGAAAGGTGTGAGTGTAAACACGCTCCACTCGACGGGGAGGGGAGGGGGGGCAGCATGGATTGCTATTCCATTGTGCTCTGCACGCACAGGTTTTCCTTATCTTAAGTGTCGCAACACTCGAAAACTAAGATGAGCAAAAGCTATTTGTTTATTTGTTATTTGTTTTTTAAATTATTTTGTTTATTTATTTGTAGAATGTGTTCGCTGGACAAAGCTGCGTATTCATCTACTCCTGCATGCGAGTCATCCTGTGACCCCCCCCCCATGTCCTTCACTGAGGCCGCGCGGGACGGTTGAAAAACGGCTCCGTCTCTGCGTCCGTCACCCCCGCCTCGCCGAACAGGCCCCCGGCCGGCCCGCCGATGACCTTCGACCCCGAACCCTGACGCCTCTGGAGGATCACGAGCACGCCGATGATGAACCAGAGGAAGAAGTTGACCCACACCGCCGTCTGAGGGGGAAAGAGGTCGCTTAAGTCACCCGCCGCCGTATTAGCGAGCTTATTATTATTTTTTTTTACTACATATGAATGAAAGTGAACGTTTGGTCGACACAAAGAGCGACGTGTCCGTTCACTGACCTCGGCTTTGTAGAGACTGTTGAAGAATCTCGCCCCTCTAAGTGGACTGACCCACTTTCTGGTCTGGGCCTCGTCACAGCTTCGAGAGACAGAAATGGATCACACGTTACAAAGTTACAGGTTCTTCCGTTTGAAACGCATCATTTGTGTCCTGTTGTGTGTGTGTGCGCGTGCGTGGGCCACCTGGTGATGTTGGGAACACTCTGTAGGAGCGAGTTGCAGAGCGCGTCCCGTCCGATCTTCAGCATGCAGCCCGTGATGAGCAGGAAGAAGAGGAAGAAGCCGCTGGCGGCTACGTTCAGGTTCATCCACACGCGCTCCCTGCGGTGGGGGGCAGACGGGACAGAAAGAGCGCGAGCGGTGAGCAGCTTTTGATGGGGTGGAAAAAGAGAAAGGGAGGACGTTTTAAAAAGGTCATTTCAACCGCTGAACGAAAGGAGATAATTGCATCACATACGGCTGCTACGACAACACGCCTAGAATTCCCGTCCCCATAGCTTTTAAAAACTACTTAAGGTTTTTTTTTATGCCGCCACTCCAGCTGTGCAGCGTGTACCATTCGGTCTGTAAACCTGGCAGCTAAAATGTTTCTCTGTCTCAAACAAGAATACAACTCTGTCGACCAGATGAACAAGGAATATTACATATACGTATTAAACTAACTTAAAGGCTGCGCGGGAAAATGGGTGCAGCTTTAACAACATGCTGCTCTGATATTCTGAGTGCTTAGACATGTGTGTTAAGTTCATCATGTGTTCATCTGCCTTCAACTTTAGACACGGCCCGAGTCCCTCGAGTGAACTGGTCTGAAAAGCCTGTGGAACATCGCCGCCCCCCCCCTCCCTCCCCCTTCCACCCCTCCACAGGGCTGGAGAGCACGGCGGCGTACGGCGAGCTTCACCTTCGGATCTCCCCGTCGATGCAGAACATGTAGAGCCAGTACAGAGACACCGAGAAACACACCACCGCCACCATGACGGATACGGCCGCCACGAAGTAGCACAGAGACGAGGAGCTGGAGGACTTGATGCCAATAAGGTCGGCGGTGGCGTTGTAGTCGACGAGTCCATACAGCATGCAGCGGCCTCCGAAGTTACCCTGAGAAACAAAACTATTTAACAAGGTGCCTTTGTTCGCGTGCAGGATTATAGTCGAGTTTGCGTTGCAATGTTTCATCAACTTCATCACTGGTGAGACTGCAACAACAAAATAGTACACACACACACACACACACACCCCGCAGCATGTGACTTGTATAAAGGGAGTTGAGAGAATAATTGGGCACGAGGACGCTGTGGTCACGTGGTGGGGGGAGCGCACATTTTTTCACATGCACGCATCCCCTGGTCACCCAAACAAAAAAAATGAACTTAAAGCCTAAAGCATTTTTGTAATTAAAGTGACGGGGTTTTTTTTGTCTTTGGTGGGCGTCACGAGGGAGCTGCACTGTGATGAGGGACAACGTGCACGTCAATAAGGACAACACGCACGAGAGTGAAGACATCTACAGGAAGTGAAAGTGCGTTTTTGGGGTTGTTACCTGCTCGCGCTGTGACGGCTGCTAATATGTAATAAGTGAGAAGTTAGTTATGCAATTTGTTACATTTTTTTAAAGCAACAGAAAAAAAGTTATTATTTTCGAAAATATCATTAAGTATATCATTAACTAGACAAACACGGTACGAACAACATACGACACGCTGAAGAGAGGTTTGGTTTCGTTCTGGTAAACTTTAGACCTTTGGGAAAACTTTCTCGCGCACAAGTCCATCCGGAAGAGGACCGCGACAGACAGAAGCCCGCGGGTCCGTTTCGGGGTTAAAAGGTCACCTGGACTATGGTGATGGAGGCCGCGGCGATGATCCCACAGACGAAGCAGCTGGCGTACAGACCCAACTCCAGCAGCAGCAGCCCCGTTGACGCCATCGTCCCGTGGAACCAGGTTCCTGTGTGGGCAGAGACCAGCGTCAAGGCCGCCGCGGTGAGCGAAGACGCAATATCCGGTCCGGCTGGTTTTCAAAATAAAGTCCCAGGTTAGGCGCTCGAGTGGCAGCGGCCACTGACTCCTCCGGGTAAAAACCGAAGAGAACTAGTCATAATGGAAGAGTTAAAGAAACGGGAACAGGCTCCTACCGACTTTCTCGTATGTGGCAAAAATGAAGAAAACTTTTCTTACCAGTCACAAAAGCCACGCTTAAACGTTTTACGCCCGAACACCCTGATTTCCTGCGTTATTTCGGTACTTTTTCGTCGGCTTGTATCGGTTCCCTCTCGAAGCTGCCAGATGAGACTATTTCTGCGTCCTTTTTAATTCCCTCCCTTTCGAAACCAATGAAATACTGCTTTTCTTGAGCCCCACCAGACACGCACGCCCGCTTATAAATGCGCACAAATCGGTAATTTGCCACACTGGTGGGTTGTAAGGCTTCAACACCGGTTATCACACAGCAATTATCTCCGGTCAGTCTTAACCGACACACCGACACCCATTGAGGTAAACTTCACTGCGTGGGAAACAGATGAATGGATGAGCAATCTGCTTTTTATTAATGTCCCACTATGAAATCTCATAATGCCTCACAGGTATTTTAATCAGGTGGCTAGACGGTGTGTGTGTGTGTGTGTGTGTGTGTGTGTGTGTGTGTGTGTGTGTGTGTGTGTGTGTGTGTGTGTGTGTGAGAGAGAGAGTTGTTGCAAAGGGCGCTTCATCCCCATTGCTTAATCAAACCTTGTGACTTAAGTCATATGACCCTGCGACTCTGATATACGTAACACAATTTAAATTAAATTCCCCTTCTGCTGCATGAACACTAATCCCTGACACACATCTGAACCCACATGGCGTGTGTTACATTAGTAGATGTTTATGAAGCTAAAAGGAGTTTCCATTCAGAGCTTCATGTAATTGACACACGTGGGCCGTGGGCCCCGCCTGCTGAAAATCCCCAAATAAGTTTGTGATGGAGAACATCTTCATTTGCATGTGTGTTTGGAGCAAAATGCAAAACGAAAAACTAGAATGAGAAGCACACAGCTTGGGAACGTCCATTGTGCAGCTTGTTAGTCAAGAACAGGAGCTTTTTCTGCCAGACCTCTGTGGTCCGGATACATTGCTCGCATACCAGAGAAACTCTCTGTCCGTGTGTGTGTGTGTGTGTGTGTGACTGTGTGTGTGTGTGTGTGACTGTGTGTGTGGTGTATGTTCTGTCTCAGGTGGCTAGACTCAGTCCAAGGCTGAGCCTCTTACAAAGCCATCATGCAAATATTAGTGTCAGTAAGAACGTGTGTGTGTGTTTTAATGTTGTTAGATTAAAGGCTTAAAGTATGATGGTATTAGTGTTGGCTAACAGGCCCTGAACACCAAAGAGAGAGAGAGAGCGCTTGTGTTTGAGCTGTGTGTGTGTGTGTGTGTGTGTGTGTGTGTGTGTGTGTGTGTGTGTGTATGCAGACGTCACAACACAGGCCTGGTATCACTTTAATTCACTGATAAATTCAAACACAAAAAAAAGTCACATGCAAGTCTGCATGAGGCACAGATCTATGTGTACAATATAAAAGAGACACCGATGAAAGCAACGAGAAAAAAAGCGATTACAATAGAAAATGTAACGCAAATATAGGAAACATGCACTTGGAAACACGTCACAATTAGTTTACACGTATGGGCTCGGTCTCAGAGGCGTGATTAAGCCAGACGAGCGGCCATCAACATTTTTTATGAGGGGAAACAGAAGTTTCCTCTCGATATAAGAGTCATGATGTCCAGTAGATAGAGTAAAAGTTACTGAAATATCTTTGGGAAACAAATGTTGATATATATACTAACTGTACAGCCGGCTTATTTAGTTTAAAACAGAAGTAAATATTTCAACAACAACAGTACGTCAAGTAAACAACAAAACATTTAATTTACTATTTTAAATTCCATATATTGTCCCTCTTGGTAGAATCTTAATTACATTGTGATTACGTCGTGCCATCATGTACAAAAGTTGTGTAATAATTAAATATTGGACCAAGAGATGGATATACAGACAAACAGAACTCCAGTTGTCCTAAAACAAGGACAACTTCATGATTTTAAAATATCACAATCAACCCAAAAAGTTACAATATACTGTATAATCAACATTAATTACGATTGGTCCTCACATTTTCCTTCTAGATTTCCCAGCCTCATTTCGTAAGTGGATAAAAGAAACAACAACTTTGGATTAATGCAAACATGACAGCTTTTGTGTTGGTGAGGAAGGAGAGGAGCGATACAGGGGATCCTCACAGGGGAAATGTATTAACACGCCGTGTGGAGAATGGGCCGACGGTTTGTGCTCAGGTTCTTGGTCTGAAAATAACCATATAATATTGTAGTAAATGTGTCTGTGCAGAGCCCATGCTTGCGGTAAATTTGATTACCGAGCGGATGCATAGAATGGCTTCTTTTTTTTAAATTTTGTGAACAAGGGAATGTATCTTTTTACGTGAATGAACGATGTGTAGCCATCCCACTGTAACACGCATTACACAGCAAGAATGCTCATATTTCCATGCCAGTGTTCCTGAAATCTGTTTTTCACAACTGCTTTATCAAAGCCGTGTAGCAGCACGGAGATTTCACTAGTCGGTGGACTGGTTGAAAATGTTTGGAGATGGAATTCCTGTTTTAATTCAATGCTACAGTCACGTTCCTCGATAAGTGCAGTCACAAGGCTGTCATCACTGCGCTATATGTGTGTGTGTTCTATTAAGCATGCATGTCTTGTCCCTGCACACTATGTGAAATAAAATGCATCTGAAATTCTCTCCTTTTTTTTTTTTTTTTAAATAAAAGAATTTTGAACGAGCTGAATAGTGGAATTTAGTGGATTTGCCAATAGCAGGTCTCAATGGAATTGAATAAAATCCCTTTCTTTCGGTGAGTTATTTTTTTGTGCATCCACGTGTACACATGTACCGGATGAAAGCGCTTCCATTGTCAGCCAACCGGACAACCGGGCAGCCTGAAGGCATCCGGAACAGGGCTGTCGAGCTTACAGATGATCTTATAGATCCCTTTCTTCCAGCAGGGGTCGCTGTCTCTCCCCGTCCAAATGGCCGAGTAAAACTCCCTCAGAGCCACGTCCGATACCTCGATGAACCTCTCCGGCACCTGCAGACAGAAGAGGGGGCGCTTAAAAGTCAGATACGCACCTACACCTACTGTTGGTGTTGATGGAGCGCGGGCGTGATTAAGGTTATTAATTAACACCTGCGCGCGTCCCGCTGTATGACACCCGAGCAGAAGACTAATTAGCCAGTCAACCCAAAACACCTGTGCGGTGGAGCGACGCTCTCTGGAGGCTGCGCGTTTTCTCTGATTCAAAATGAGCTGAGTGGATTCTGTTTATAGCACAGAGTTTGGTAACCTATTTCAGTTTTGGCAAACCTTACGACTTTGTGAGAGATATCACGACTTGTACTTTTTTACTGAACTGAACAGTGTCCAATTCATGATCATCAAATACATTTAGTACTTTCTGGAGAATTGCATGTGTGCAGATTCAAAAGCATAGGGGCTCGGAATATCGTATGGCCGGTTAGCTCAGTTGGTTAGAGCGTGGTGCTAATAACGCCAAGGTCGCGGGTTCGATACCCGTACTGGCCAGTGATTTTGAAAACTATTTGAGATTTGATGGCAAAGACATTTCCACCGTAGCCTTTAAAAGCTGTAATGTAATGGAAACATTAATCACACTATAGTGACAACTGCGATCCATAGGAATTAAATATGTCTAACCATTGGGGATAATATTTTTAATTTTAATTAATTAAACAATAACACCCCCACAAAATGTATGCATACCATTTATACGAAACGGGAGGCTCACAAATACCATCAGTTTTCAAAACAAAGTAATAAAAGTGCAGACATTTTTTCATTCATCTTGTTATTGTTATCTTTAGATAAACCGAGCCCAAATCCTTATTGACAGCAGTAATAGTTTGAGATGTTTATCCTATTTGCACCCTGGTGACACAACATAAGTTTAACCCCTGTAACTAACTCAGTTAAAGAAACTTTGAGGCAATCAGACTCAAGCCCCCTCCCACCCCCCGAAAATAAAATGTACATATCTTGCTTTCATCCCCCTGACATCCCTATGAAGTATCAAAGCCTCCAGCCGAGGACACGCTGCACGGGGACACACTCTCCTCACCTGGTAGACGTTGCTTTTGTTGTAGTGCATGTTGAGAATGCGGTAGAGCTCCGTGTCGCGGCCCACTCGCAGGTGACTCTCTCTGCCCAGACGAGGTGCGCCCTCCCTGGATCGGACGGACGGACGCACTCAATGACGTGGAATACTTTACGGAAATTCATCCCATACGTTGTACCCGTAGAATTCAACTGTCATAAGTATTACTTGTATCACCTTTTGACAAATCCCCCCCACTTGAATCTCTTCTAGGATTGCATTACGTTCAACAACAATAACAAGTGCTATTTTCCCCACCGGGTCAGAGCCTCGCGGACCGCCTGGCGGGCGAAGCGCTCCATCTGGATGTAGAAGAACTCTCTGAAGTTGCTGAACCATTTAATCATCTGGGAGGTCACACAGCGGTTGAACTAGATAGCAGGACAGGGAGACAGAGGGACAGGATGTGAGCAAGTGTGGACAGGAGGCCGGGGGGTGAGGGGGGGCTTACTACATGATTTCAAATGACGCTGATGATCAGATAACAGAGTTTAAAGACAGCTTTAGACTGGAGCTCAAAGACGGAGAGAAAATGTGTTTTGGTGCTTCATAACGGTAACATTATAATCAAATATGAGGATTAATTGGTTCAGGAATTCAGCCCCTCTAGACACATTAAAATTGTTTACCAATAATTTGACTTTTTACAGAAATTGCAGTAAAAATACTCAAAAGGCAAAGGGATTTTTTTTCTAAAATGATAAATATGTTTAATGCTTTGTGTCGTCTTTTATTATTCACACTGAACTATTTTGCCGTTCTGTTCCACAGTGTCTCCAGGTGTGTGTTTTTTTATTAATCATAAAGTTTGCTGTTAAAGTGTAAAACATCTTCCCTCGGTGTATTCGTTTCATAATAAACTTTGAGGTTATCCTTTCTGTCAAATCATTTCAAAGGGTCTTTGCTCTGTTTCCTCGCGTTCCCGTCGCCTGCAGGGGGGGCACTCACCTTGACGTCGGGGAAGTAAGTCTTGAGCGTGTTGGAGCTCGGGTAGCGCGCGTAGAAGAACATAAGCTTGGCCTTCTTCAGATGGCAGGGAGACAAGCCCTCCTGGGTGTAAACATGAGGCCAGTTAAGGAGACACACACACACACACACACACACTCATGAACAAAGACATTTCCCTCCCTTGCTCCTCCCCACTTTGCTGACAAAAGGATATTCCCCCAGCGGTCAGGTAGAGCTCTCCTCCGTCCATCCCTCCTCCTCTCATCCCTCCGTCTCCCCTCATCCCCCTCTCTCGGCCCCCGTGGGCGTGGCGCGCCATGGAGGGGTCCAGGTGACCGAGCAGGGGGAGCGGCGGGAAAGACGGGTGAGATGACGGGTGGGTCGAGAACTCCAGGAAGGGGTCGGAGTTCAGATAGTCCTTGCGGGACGGATGGAGGTGGGGCAGCTGGGGGTGGTGCAGCGAGCGAGAGAAGAGCTGCTGCATGGAGTAGTGGAGCAGTGGGAGAGGCAGCGGGGGAGGAGGCGGGGGCGGTGGAGGGGGAGGCGCGGGGAAGGAAGAGGACGAAGAGGAGGAGGAGGAGGAGGACGGGTGGAAGGAGAGGTCCTTGGGTTGCGACGCCGTGGGCAGGAGGGTGGGGTGGGACAGAGGAGGGGGGCGAGGTAGAGACGGGTGGTGGAGGGCGAGGTTCGGGTGGGAGGGGTTCAGGTGAGCAGAGAGGGGCGGGCCGAGGAGCGGTTGGGCTTTTCGCACGTCATGTGACCTTTGGACCGCCGACGGCATGGACAAATCGGAGGGTTCGGCGAGGCGCGGCGGCCCCGGCGGCGGAGCGCTCCCGTTGCTTCTCCTCTGGGCGGGCTTCTCTCTTCCTCCATCCGGCCTCCCCACTGCCTTTCCCTCCTCACCTCTCACCTTATCCTCCCCTCTGCCGCTCGTCAAAAGCCCCATCCACACTCCCCCCTCCCTCCCGCCGTCGTTCCCGCCTTCGGACGGCAGGAAGGAGATGGCGGCGGGAGGGGAGGAGGGGGCGGCGTCCGTCATCTCGGTGTAGAGGCGGAGGACCCGGTCTATGACGCGGGCCACGGCACTGCCCAGCTCCACCTTCAGCGCCTGGGCGAACTTCTGGCCTCCCTCCTCGCCCTCGTCTTCGATCCCTCCCTGCCAATCCCCCCTCAGCAGCCCGCCGCAGTCCAGCCACAACCCCGCCCCCTCCATCACGCCCTCCAGGTGCAGGCCTCCTGCTCTCCCTCTCTCTATCCTCCCCACGCTGTCTTTTTGCATCTCATCCCTCTGCTTGTGGAAGTTGTCGAAAGGCGAGACAGAGAGGAGTGAGAAAGTTTCCTTTTCCATCTCTGCGCCATCGATGTCCTCTTCGTCGTACATCCCTTCTGTGATGTCCTCCTCCTCCAGCAGGCCGCGGTCTTCTCCGTCTCCTCCGTCTCCTCCTCTTCCGTTCCTGCACCGCATCTCCTTCTCCTCGTCCTCCAGGTGCTTCTCGCCAAAGGCCCTCCACACCTTCTCCTGCAGGGCCTGCAGTCTCTCTCTCGCATCCTCCAGCTGTTCCTTCAGCTCCTCCCTCTCTCTCCTCTTCCCCTCCTTCCCCCCCTCGCGCCCCCTGCCTCCCACCTCGGCCCCTCCATCTCTTGGTCGGCTCTCAAGCTTCAACCTCTTCACCTTCAGGACGTCCTGACTCCACTCGTCGCCGAGCCTCTTCTTGACCCCCAGCGAGCTGTCCTCTCCCTCCATCGCCCCGTCCTCTCCTCCTTCCACCCCTTGCGCTACCCGTCCCTCCCTCTCCCCTCTGTCCTCCTCCAAGTCTCTGTCTTCCAGGTGTCTGTGTGTGCTCGGGTTGGTGTTGAGTTGACCTCCGATCCTCCTGGGGGCTCCACCTGGCTGGAGGAGGTGGTGGATGAGGGGGAATCCGGGGGACCTGAATGCGGGTGGAGGGCGACCGGCAATGGGCTGAGGATGAACTCCAGGGAGATCAGCGGAGCTGTGTGTGGCAGCGAATGCGTGCATCTGGGGAGCAGAGTCGTCAAAAAGATCCGTGGGGGAATCCATCACTGGAGAGAGGGAGGCGGAGAGAAGGAGACATAAAAAGGGGGATTTTTGCCACAAGACCCTGATACATTTAATTGGGTTCCGGTCACAGAATTTTTACAAACAAAATAATCTTTCTATTAATACAAAAGTGATCATTATTATTAATTAATTGACACTAATCTAGAAAAATGGCATTATCTGCAATCCTGAACATGAGTTCCACCTAACAGTAAAATTATTAAAAGTATTAATGCTTTGGCAACAATAACAATAACATAATTGTATCGTACAATAGTATGACAATTGTTTCTTCCTTAATTAGTTTTGTTTTTATTACTTAAAGTGCAGTTTCCCTTAGTGCAACATTTTAACTTTTATTTTGTATTCATACTTTTACTTCCATAAAGAATTAGAATACTTTCATATTTCAGTGAGAAATAAGAGTTCAGAGACTCGAGTTCTCCGTTTGTCACTGGTGACGACACCGAGTTGTCAAACGCAGCTCATGTGACTGGCATTGACTTCCGCTCATCTGGTCAGCGGCCAACCACGGGCTCAAACGCCGGGTCAAGAGTACGTTTAGAAACAGTCCTCCAAAGGGTTCCTTTTCTCATGAGTGGATTCCTGACACGCACACATTGCAACAGAGCGAGAAAGCGGGTGCAAGTCAACGGACTGCAGGGCCGGGGCTACGTGCGCTAACAGGTCAACATCTGGCTTCTCTTCAAAACCGCTTCTCCCGTTTTCTTGCTACTTTCCAATAAAGCACAAAACGGCATAAGAACACAAATGACAAGATGGAGGGGGACGACGCTGTGGGATAAGGACACGATAACAACATAGTATGAACATATTACGGCGCCACCGTGCTCTTATGTTTTCAAATTGCCGGAAAATAATGACTTGAGTCCTTCTGCATTAACTGGAAACGCTTGTCATACAGAGTAGAGAACGCCGCGTTTGTGAATAACATAAATATCTCACTAATTAATCCAAATCCTAAACACATGTCCCCCTTCTTTTTTTTTGTTGTTGAGCCTCCTCTCCGTCCAGAAGCCCCTTTCCCCCTTTTTCCTTCCTCTCTATTCCTCTCTTCCGCTGGTCTCTGTTATCAGTGCAGGCAGCTTGTTAAGTACTGTTTGATCGGAGTGTTTACTGTCAAACACTCACACACACACACACACACACACACACACACACACACACACACACATTACACATCCACACAAAAGAAAAAAGAGGCTTGAGAGAGGGCTGACAATGGTCAATGGTCCTTGGGGAGTGAAATAGAGTGAGAGTAGCATGTTTATTTGTGTCTGTGTGTGTCTGTGTGCGCGTGCATGTGTATATGCCAGGGTGTGTGTGCATGTGTGTGTGAGCAGCAGTCCTACTTAGCATTGATAACACCGCTAATCCACTTCAGATGGATACGCTACCGCTCAACGGAACAGAAAGATGGACGAGTGATAAATGGACAGATGTAAGGACAGACGAAAAGAGGTGGAGCAGACAAAATGTGGACACGGACGCTGTTTAGCATTTTAGGCTTTACGTGACTGTCAATGGTTTGAATTCAAGCTGATTAGATGGAGAAATGGATAGATATATAGATACAAGTAGATTTATAGAAAAATGGATGGGTAGATAGATAGATGGGTAGATAGATAGATGGATGGATGGATGGATGGACAGATGGATGAACAGATCAGTGCTTAGGTCCCTCGGTCCAACATGAAGAGAATAATCCTACTATAAATAGATAAATATCAATTATTCAAATGCCCTGTCCTCTCTTTAATACAGCCCAGATGGCAAACCGGCCAATGCGCTTATATCAGGGACAGATTAGCTTTTCAAAGCCAGCGGAAAGCTGCATAAAATATGAACACTGAGCAATGAAAATGAAAGCTATTAACCACTAGATTAGACCTCAGAAGGGTACTGGTGGACGGCTGTAGGTGTTACTGGGAGAACTGACAATACTGGGAACTCCCATTGAATAAAGCACCCACATCTCACTGTAGCCCATATTTGTAAATTGCGATCTGGGTGTATTTATTATCGTTAACAGGTTATCGCTCTATGTCTCAAATGAGAGGCCTATTTGCATTCAAGCAGTTGATATTTATTCCAAATTATAATTGTGGTGAAGCTGTCGTTTTGTAGCCTATACGGACTGCGTGTTTTACCCAGATCTAAAATGCTTAAATTCTATAACTTATAAATAAATGTCCGAGCATTGACAGTATTTGTGTCGGTGATTTCTGTTTTAATTTTTCTGAGTTTTTAAAAATGATTTATTAATATTATTTATTATTATCATGTTATAACATTTTTAGATGCACCTTATTGTAGTGTTTTAGAATGTGTTCATATATCTGTATCTATCTATCTATCCATCTATATATACATTTATCCTTCTCTCTAAAATAATATTACTTTGAATAATTTATATAATGTTTGAAGCCATCCGACGCGCGCGAGCTGTCAGTTGATCAGTGCGTGCGCGCGCGCGCGCTCCCGCGTCGCGTCCTGTCACTAATTGGCAGCGATGGACTAATGTCGCAGTACGGAAGGAAACACTGAACCATTGAACACAGACAAATCGCTCATTCGACGTGCAAACTGTTTCAACGACACGTCGCGTTTGAAGTTTTTAAAAACAAAAATGAACTCACTCTCGGTGCGCAGAGAAAAGCTCCAGCGGTGCCCTCCTCTCCCTGGCCTCCCCCACTCTCCCCCCCTCCTCCCCCCCGAAGCGTTCCACTCCAGCGGCCGCTCCTAGGCGCTCTGCCTCGGTCTCCTCTCTTCAGCTGGCGCCCGGCGGGCCTCGGACATCGGTTCTGGCGGAAAACCAAACCGTCTCTCTCTCTCTCTCTCTCCCGTCTCCTGTCTGCCCTCCGCTCTCTCTTATTTGTCCTTTGTTTTCCTCTCACTCATCCGCCGCCTTCTTCTTTACTCTGGAGTTGTGTCAGTGTGGGAGGTCCCCCCCCCCCCCCCTACACATCACACATAAGAGATACACACACACACACATACACACACGCGCCCCCCTCTTCACCCTCCCTAGCAGGGTCCATCTATCTGTGGCAGGCATCGTCTCTCACGCGCTGCTGCCGGTGTGGAGCCGCGGTGGGCGGGCTGCTCAAGAGCTGCGTGGCCGCCTGACGGTGCGGTCCCTCCCATGTTGGCATGACCTCCCGGTACCCACACACACACACACACACACACACACACACACACACACACACACACACACACACACACACACACACACACACACACACACACACATGCCAGAGAGGGTGGTTTAAATGTTTAGAAGTAACGGATTTCTAAATAACGTCAGTGTCGTTGTTGGTTCGTTGCAGACACGGAGCGGTGTTTTTTGTAAAAGTCAACAACAACAACAAAGTGGTTGATGCTGAAGCCATTACCTCATGCCTCTACTTGTTTTTCACAGCTTGGGGGTCATAGTAAAAGTCAGGACATTCATTAACACTTTTATCTCACCACAGGAATGTTTTTTCTCAGTAGAGGTACTGGGTGAAATCTATCAGCGTTGGTCCATACTGACGAGCGACATCTAAACCAAAATACTTGATGCAGAAAACTAAATGTGATGAAGTGTTGACGGTCCGTGCAAAGATGGTGTTATATCGTTGAACTATAACCATGTGATGGACATTTGATGACTGAAAGTGAACAGCAGGACGCAGCACATTGCCGGTATGAGTAAACGGACAACATTTAGAAACAACAGAGGAGTGTCCTCTTGCTCGTGTTCCAACGAGCCTCCATGGTTCACCTCAGACACGTCGCTTTGCTCGCACAGAGGTGTTTAGCACCCAGAAGAACATCAATGCAGATGCCTGACCTTGGACAGTAATCTACCTGTTGCTGACAATGTTATCCAAGCCTCCAAACTGAGACCGGTGCTGTCATTATCTCGTTTTGAGAACAATATATTCATCCCCCCCCTCCCCCCAAAAAAAAACATTCCGACTCTCACTTCTCTGTCCATTTCATCCCATTGCTGTCTTTTTCTACTTCTGATTAAATATGGTCGGGCGCCGACTGAAAGGTCGCAGTTGTTATGGAAACGAGGCTGGTAACAAAAGCTGGACACGCGGGTGCGGTGTGGAGACGGAGAGAGAAAGAGGGAGAGCCGTCTGAATAAACACGCAGAGGAGAGGAGAGAAAGTGAGTTCGCTCTGAATAAATAAAACACATTCAGGGGGAGAAGGGCCGAGAGACGGCGAGGTCGTGGAATCGTGCACGGCTCCACCTGCAATAATAAATAACAAAAGATAATACCAGGGTTTTGTCATTCTAGGAGGCAGAAGTGTGTGTGTGTGTGTGTGTGTGTGTGTGTGTGTGTGCGTTGGACGGAGTGGCACACCGGGAGAATACAATTGGTAGATAATACACGGATCTTCTGCACAGGCCGCAGAATACTGAAAAGCCTCCCAAAAATCCTAGAATTGTGCGTGTGCGTGTGTGTGTGTGTGTGTGTCAGTGAGTGAGTGTGATCGCGTCATCTCTCTGAGGGCTCACATTATGTTAACCACTTAGACCAACATCAAACCCTCTCACACACACACACACACACACACACACACACACACACACACACACACTTCAGTGCAAGCATGAAGGTGCCAGCCATATAAATAGGACGTCCCAGAGCGAGAGACATAAAGAGAAAGGGACTGACATGGACAGAGAGAGAGAGAGAGAGAGAGAGAGAGAGAGAAAGAAATTATGAATTCAAAGGGAAGAAAAGGGTTGGGGAGGAAAGCCGAGAGAGGGCAAGAACAGTAGGAAGGGGGGGGGGGGAGGGGGGTAGATGTGAAAGGATCAATAGACGGCATAAAGTGTATGTTCATTGATTTCTGTACAGGGAGAGAGAGAGCAATGGGGTGAGAGGGAGGGGGAATGAATGGGGGGGGGGGTGGTGATCGAAAAAGCGGGGAGCGGACAGAAGCATGAACTGGGGAGGGGGGGGTTATAATAACGAGGAAGCAATGAACAAGTCAGAGCCCCACCACAAGGCGAGGGAGTGTGGGAGGTGTGGAGGCCTAATTAAAGCTTCATCAATCAATACATTCATATGACCGCTGGGTCAAATGACCCAGTGAGATGGGAAAGGGGTCAAACCCACACGGAATGATCTCCAGCTCTGTACAGTTACGCTCAGGTCTCAACTGTCTCCTACTAAATGACATTCCCATGCAACTGAAAACGCTCTCTCGTGGGGGCTCATCTACATTTGAACCCATAAATATATGGTAATCTCCCTCGTGTCCTTTTAGATATAATCGTTTGATCATGTTTCAGATATTCTCACTTTCAGTCCCTGATTCAGTCCCCATGCGTCAAAAAACATTGGATCCTATATTTCCCACAATGCAACCCGACGCACACTTCTCACCCCTCAGAATAACCCTGATGAGTGATGATATCATTATTTGTTGGCTTTGTTCTGTAAGTTGTGACCCACAACAGGCCCCATATAACAAGGCACAAGACACTGTGAGACCTGCATGACAAACGTCACGGCTTACAGTACCGGAAAGAAGGTCAGGTTGTAAAGGAGCACAGGGGGGACGGACGGACGGACAGGCAGAGAACGTGTTGGTGTGTGTGTGTGTGTGTGTGTGTGTGTGTGTGTGTGTGTGTGTGTGTGTGTGTGTGTGTGTGTGTGTGGGAGAGTGCGAGAGACAGAAGTGTACTCAAATAGCTCAGGGCAAGGTGACACAGAGAAACGAACGGACAGAGAGGCATAACAAGCTCATAGAGGGGGGATAGTGTGTCAAGTCAAGTCAAGTCATTTTATTTTGTATAGCCCAGAATCGCAAATTACAAATTTGCCTCAGAGGGCTTTACAGTCTGTACACATACGACATCCTCTGCCCCGAAACCCACCATCGGCACAGGAAAAACTCCCCAAAAAATAAAAAAAAACCCTTACAAGAGGGAAAAAAGGGAAGAAACCTTAGGGAGAACGTCAGAGGAGGGATCCCACTCCCGGGATGGACAGACTACAATGGATGCCATGTGTACAGAATGAACAATGTATAATACATGCAATTCCTATGACAGAAATGATTCAAGTAATTGTGAGTAGTAAGCCAGGCGCACAGCAGGACCACTGCAGAGGCAACCACCATCAGATAGAACCACCATCCACAGAATCCTGTGGGGAGGGAGAGCACAGAGATTTTAGGAGAGGGTAATGGCGGTTTATGAGTAAAGTAATATGATCAATATCTAAAATAATGATGATGATGATGATGATGATGGCAGCAGCAGGCGTCAGCAGGGCCACGGTAGGTGTCAGGACCAGGGTCCCGAAGGAACCACGATCTATGGAGACCTGGTAGGGGCGAAAGCACAAAAAAAAAAAACTCCCGGAAAGAAGCTGAATTAGTCATGTGCATTAATAAAACTTGAATTATGGTAGAAAGAGAGCGTGAGAGAGGAGCTCGGTGTGTCCTAAGAAGTCCCCCGGCATTCTAAGCCTATAGCAGCTTAACTAGGGGCTGGTCCGGACTAACCTGAGCCAGCCCTAACTATAGGCAGAATCAAAGAGGAACGTTTTAAGTTTTACTTTAAAAGAGCTGACCGAATCTGCCCCCCGGACTGAAAGTGGAACCTGGTTCCACAAAAGAGGAGCTTGATAACTGAAGGCTCTGGCCCCCAGCCTACTTTTTAAAACCATAGGAACAACAAGTAACCCAGCATCTATGGAGCGCAGTTGCCTTGTAGGGCAATACGGTGTTACAAGCTCTTGAAGATACAACGGTGCCTCACCAGCAAGTGCCTTGTAGGTGAGGAGAAGTACCTTAAAATCTATTCTTGATTTAACAGGAAGCCAGTGCAGAGAAGTTAATACAGGAGTGATATGATCCCTTTTCTTAGTTCTTGTTAATACACGTGCTGCAGCATTCTGAATCAGCTGGAGAGGCTTAAGAGATTTATAAGAGCAGCCTGATAACAAAGAATTACAGTAGTCCAGTCTGGAAGTGACAAACGCATGAACTAATTTTTCTGCATCACTTAGAGACAGGAAGTTCCTGATTTTTGATATGTTACGTAGATGGAAATAGGCAGTCCTTGAAGTCTTCTTTATATGCGAGTTGAAGGTCATATCCTGGTCGAAGAGAACTCCCAGATTCCTGACGGTGCTGCTGGGTACCAGAGCAATTCCATCCATAAAAACTGTATCACGCGACAGCTGGCTTCGAAGGCGCTCTGGGCCTATCAGGATAACTTCCGTTTTTTCTGAGTTTAGCATCAGGAAGTTGCCGGTCATCCAAGTTTTGATGTCTCCAAGACATTCTTGGAGTCTAACTAACTGGTCCGTCTCTTCTGGCTTGATCGACAGATACAGTTGAGTATCGTCTGCATAACAATGGAAGTTTATGCGGTGTTTCCTGATAAGATCGCCCAAAGGAAGCATATAGAGGGTAAATAAAATCGGTCCAAGTACAGAACCTTGTGGGACTCCGTGACCAACATTGGTGGTCTTTGAGGATTCACCGTTTACAAGCACAAACTGGGATCGGTCCGATAGGTAGGATTTAAACCAGCTGAGTGCAGTTCCTTTGATACCAATTAAATGTTCTAGTCTCTGCAACAGGATACAATGGTCTATGGTATCAAATGCGGCACTAAGGTCCAGCAAGACAAGAAAAGAGATGAGTCCTTGGTCCGATGCAAGTAGAAGATCATTCGTAATTTTCACCAGTGCGGTTTCTGTACTGTGATGCACTCGGAATCCTGACTGGAAATCCTCGAACAAAGCATTGTTTTGTAGAAAGTCACATAATTGATTTGCGACGGATTTCTCAAGGATCTTAGAGAGGAAGGGAAGATTAGAGATAGGTCTGTAGTTAGCCAACACCTCTGGAGCAAGAGTAGGTTTCTTAAGAAGAGGTTTGTGTGTGTTTGTGCGTGTGTGTGTGTGTACATGTTAAAGAATGAGAGAAAAGGGAATAGACGGTGGGGGCGGAACGGGAGGGAGGGATAGAGGAAGTTGAGGGAACAAAAACAAAAACAGGGAGAGAGTAGAACTGAGTGTGTGTGTCTGTGTGTGTGTGTGTGTCTGTGTGTGGACAGCCGAAGGTGTCAGAGTGTGCTGTTTGGCTTAATGATGACCCACTGGGCATGTAGGTCATAACGGTCTGTGTCTCAAAGCCATGAATGTACGCCTGTGTCCATTAGTGCGTGTGTGGTTGTACGCGTGTGTGAAAATAGAAACTCACTAGACACACGCATGTAAAGTGGATCTCTTAGCATGCGTTTTAAGAGTGTGTTTGGTCAGAGGTTGGAGAAGCAGTTTTTCTAGCCAGTAGGACTCAATAAATACTAACACACACACACACACACACTCTTGCACCCACACAGGCTGCAAAGCCCGTTTTTGGCATACACACACCAACAGCTGCCCTGCTTGTCATACATGCACATGTAATGCACCATGCATGGCACTAAATTATGCACACACACACACACAACTCTTTCTTTTGATCTCTCATGACAACACACACATTCGCTCGTTCGATCAAACACACACACACACACACACACACACACACAGGGGGAAGCTATTATGCTCTCAGGCTGGAGTGTTTTGATGGTATAATTGCAGTGACCAGTGAGGAGAAAGAGACAGAGAGAGGGATGGAAAGAGGGATGGGGATGGAGGGAGAGAAAAAAAGAGGAGAGTGCTGACACTCTCAGCATGCTAATGCTGCGAGGCTCTACCCCCTGCACACGCACACACACACACACAGACACACACACACACACCCTCCACCAGATTTCATCCCTCCCTCTTTGTCTCTCCATCTTCCTCTCTATCTCACATCCTCTGCTTTTCACAGGTGCAGCACTAGAAAGCGGGAGAGATGGAGGGAAAGGTAGAGAGGTGGAGAGATGAGAGGAAAAGAGGGGTGTATAACAGGATGGAGTAATGTTATCTCTCGCTTTTCTATGCCATCCCTCCATCCTCTTCAAGCTCCCCACAATGTTCAAAACAAAGCATGCGAGAGAGAAAAAAAGGAGGTACGGCAGGATGAGAATAGGGGAAGAGGGAGGGTCGGTTTTTCCATCCCTCCAACAATGGAGGGATGATCTGTGCTTATCCTCTAATCACGTCCCCCTCTTTTTTCCCTGTCCTCCGTCCTCTCTGTTATCTCTGTTACCGCCACCCCTCTTTTTCTCATCGGGTGGTAGGAAGGGGAGCCTTTTCCTCACGCCGGCCTGCCTTTTATTGTCGCCTCTCCATCTGTTGGGCTCCATCGCTCTCTCTCCTCTCCAGAGAAGGGATTCTGCTGCATGACACTGATCTCCCCCCTTTACGTCCCACTCCCTCTCCCCTCAACCCCTTTCCTCCGTTGCTCAGAAAGTTCAAAGTACCAAACTTTCAAAGGAGGCTCATTTTATTCTTGAGGATTTCATTTAAAAGAGCACGTTGAAGCTCCGGCAGAAATACAAAACACCTAAATGGTCTATTGGGGATAAGACATATGAGGTATATCATGAAAATAAAACAATTACCGCCCAAATGTATCTTGACCGCTCTTTAAACTTGGGACATGGGAGCAGAAAAAATAAAGTGACAGGGAATCGGGGGAAATAAAGGACAGGTGCAACAAAATATAATAAGTGACATCAGTTACAGCAGCTCTGACAGAGACGTTTGTGATGTTATGAGTAATATCCACACCACCTATACAACTGTCCACTTAAAAGCACTGGAGGGCTTTCTTTCTGCACTTTGCTGCAGCACCTTTAGGGTTGTGTAACAGGAAGAATAAAAAAAGACACACACACACACACAATTAGTAGCATCTGATATCTGTATTATCAGCAGCCCGACAGGTCGTTATAGTGAGCGCTAAGCTCTACAGCTGCTTTGCTGCGGAAACTGCTCTGCTGAGAGAGATCCGATGTGAGATGTAGCTGCCGTCGGGGCGGACGAGCCGGTGGAACCAGGAGTGTGATGGATGCGACCTTGCGTTCCACAGCGACCCTCGGAGGTACGGCCACGCTACTGCGAGCCTTTCCTACCCGCCACCGGCACAGAATTAACCACAGAATTACAGAGAACTATTTGAAATACGACTAGAAAAAAATGAAGATACATCGTTATAGTGTGTCGTATAGTTGTTGCTAAGAAGGACTCACAAGCATATCCAACCGGAAACGTCTAGCCAATCGTAAACAGAAGTTCCACCATTCATCATGAAACAAATCAGTTGATCCTGATTTGACGGTTGTGGTGAGACTTAAATATCCCGGCCGTGTGACTATTATATTAACCACCTGATTTTATGATCCAAGAGTCCTGCAGCAAACTGCCCGTCCCTCAAGAAAACATATCTTACAGACTTTAATTCAATCAATTTTTATTAATCATAGCATTTTTTTTGAAAAAGGCAAACTGTATTTAACAAGATAACATTATAAAACATTATAAATCAGACAAGAGAAAGAGTGGAAGGATTATTCATCCGTTAGAATTATTTTAGATTTAGCTAATTACACATTTTTACTGTAGCAGTGAGCTGTGTAGTGCGTACCTCAGGAGTGTGTGTGTGTGTGTGTGTGTGTGTGTGTGTGTGTGTGTGTGTGTGCGTTCGTATGTCACAACCCCTGAGCTTCTTTGTCATTCAGCTGTCCTTGTGTGTGTGTATACAGTGCACACACAAGTGTGCCTCTACGGGTCCTGTGCATGTGTCTGTGTGGGCGTGTGAGTGTGCGTGGGCGAGGAGTGCCTGTCCACCAACATCTCAGTGTGCTTTAAATATTGGGCTGTCCTTCTCATCACAGACTCCCTGCGTACCGGGTCTTGGTCTCCTGGACAGATGGACAGAGAGGAAGACAAAATTATTTTTAATTATTATTGTCTAATGACATTAGTGTACTGTTCAGCAGAGAAAGAAAGAAACTGTTTTTTTTAAACATGTAATTATCACAAAATGTAAACAACAGTGCTGAAAAACAAACAAACCCTTTTGCACAGATAATGTCCACTGACAGTAGTGGGAATTGAGCCTAAAAACAGCACCTCATTGCTGTACTTCAGTGTCAGATAATTCATTTGGAAGGTGGGTCAATGTTTCCACAAGCCAAAAATAGATGTGGGACACTGGGAAGGCACAAAGTAACCATAGATTACCCATTAGAGGGCTGTCACATGTTAGCACGGTACACGCATCCGTATTTCAGCCCGTGGAGCTCCTTTCGACCCGTGCATGACTGAGTCTGTTGTAACAGCACACCAGAAGGTCCACAGTAACTATTCTTCAATTGATTGTGTGTGTGTGTGTTTTCCCTTTTCCTTTTGGTCAGCTTTCATCAACATATAGACCCATACTGGGCCGCTGCTGACCTGAAAACTTTAGCACCGACCTATCTCCTCACCCTGAACTCCAGTGATCAGGATGTCCACCGCCGTCCTGTACCCACGAATGGCTGAACTAAACTCTCCCTCCTTCTCCTTCTCCATCGCAGCGGTCAGCTCGGTGGATGCTCGGTTTAAGTAAGCAACGTCCTCTCCGTCCAGACTGCTAGGCGGCAGTGAGAACAACTCTAAGTGGCCACCGGACAAAATGGATTTATCTGAAATAGAAGGGGGGGGCGGGGGTGACAGGTTATTTACCAGCACGGAAATGAGAACATTGACGACAGCAGTTTTAAAACCACTCTCACTACCTGAAAACTCACTGGTCAGGGATATTTTTAAGCAAATAAACGGGAAACAACATATAACAAATTATTTAGTTAAGAAAATGAAATGAAAATGATGGTTTTTGAAGTCACGGTATATTACATTCTAATATGCGTTCCCATCCACATGAATTTCACCTTGTTTATAGCAGGGATCAAAGACAGCCAAGTCATTGTCTGTCAGAGGAGGTGGACCTTCCTCTTTTGGCAATGGGACGAGCTCTTCGGCCACAGAGTCAAACAGTGAATCAAATTCTTCTTGTGATTGGAGGTTTAAGGCTGCGCGCTGGTCGGGAGACGGAACTGGAGGTGGTAAACGTGGACCAAAAGGACAGAACAAGATTATTAAAGAGATAAAAGCACCGGTCATCGTTAAAAATGGGCTGTTTATTTTATTGCTCCCTCCGCACCTCCGTCGTCCAGTTCTGTATCGCTCGGCTCCTCTTCTTCTTCTTTTTCTTCTTCTTCTTCTTCTCTCGGAGAGCCTCCCACCTCGCTGTAAGCCTCAGCCGCCACCTCCGCTTCTCCCACATCTAAGCCCAGGTTGGTGCCCAGGTCCTGGGGTAAGGTGGGAGCTTCCCTCCCCTCCTCCTCCTCTGCTGGTTCGCAGTCCGAGCCCCTCCTCTTGGGGAGGGGGATAAGAGGGGGCGGCAGGGGCCCGGCAGAGGACAGAGGGGCGGCATCCAGAGGCCTTGTCACCTCGCCACCCTGACAACGGGAGGGAAGAAAGAGAGGAGAAACGTGGAGGAGGCATGAAGAGAGCCAGAGACGTGGGTGGACGGAGGCCACATGAAAAAGGATCCAGTGGCGCTGTGACTTGTGGTCTGGCTCTCGTGTTTTCTGTTGCATTATATATTTGGTTCACTTCCTATACACATGTGTGTGCGTGTGTGTGAGCGAGTCTCACTCTGAAGAAGTCCTTGAGCTGTGGACTGTTGTAGAGTGCAGGGATGCTGGTAGCAAACAGAAGCATGGCCTCGGTGGCATTCCTTCTCTCTTCGATCACGGCCTCATCAAACCGCCCTGAGAACGGAGGCAGGAGATTTAACAACGACATTGTGGATGAGGACGATAGGACAACAATCACAACAGATGGAAGATAAACCGCTTGATCTCGCAATGTTTCTTTTTCGGGGAGACTTTGTAGATGCGCTTGATCAAATGTACTGTAATCTGTCTTGCTGTAGTTTGCTGTATTTTTAGGGAAGTCTCCCATCAAGTGAGAATGTGCAAAGGGCTTTGGAACCACAGTTTGGCATTCGACTCAACTGTGTTGCTACCTTTTCCAGTTGTGAGTCTGTAACCGCCAAAAAAAGAGGTAATAGGCCAAGGGGAACTGTCACAAGACTCATGACAAAAGTCCTTTCCACCCAGAAACGAATGGCGAATAATTGCTCAGGAAAGCTACAAATGCAGCCTAAGAAAACGCCAGTTGGGTTAAATTATTACCTCTGACGTGAAAACGTACCTAAGTAATTATTTCAGATATTTGTGAAGCTCCTGCAGCAAACCAGACGACCCGGTTAGTCTTAGCGCTGCCACGTATCGCCATTTTTACGCTCCGTACCGAATACTTGTGCGCGGGGAAAAGGTGGAAACTCCTCCTCTCTTCTGAACAGGTTCCTGTGAGTGTAGGCCAACTCCCCATGGAGCTTCTTCAGCTCCGAGAACCTCCTCCACACGACCACCTCCTTCACATCTTCTGGATGGCGCTTGGACACAAACTGCGCACCACACAGGACACGTTGTTATAGATGAAGTAACATTACATGTTTAACATGAAGTGGCACGCTAGCTTTTTGAAAGTCTGTTAAAAACGAAGGGGGGGTAATACGCTTTTAAATCGATGCGAAAGTGCAAGTGCAAAATTATTCATCTGCAGACCAAGGGCTCAAATATTTACAACGAGTCATGGATCAGTTGTTCTGTGTGAGTAGGTATGTGTATAAATTACAAAGCGAGGTGATATTTTGTGTATAAATAGAAGGCGGGGTAATAAAGATATAATCTTTATATTGATTTCATGCGCATGCGCGTCAGAGCGTGAGTGTGGTCATTGGGGGGCGCGCAACACACGAACCGAGTCACAAGCTCCCACATGAGTGCCTCAAATGAAAGGCTTAGTGTGTTCTTCTCCGTGTGCCTTTTGTTTCTGTGTTTGAATGCAAACGCTACACATATCACTGGCTTTATTGTGTCATAACCGAATAACAACACAAAGTCTGACTGAAGAGCACAACACACCAAACGATGTGCGTGTGTGTGCAGTAGGAGAGCACACGAGAATTAGCCAGAATTAACAGGTGGTTGATATTAAAATCATAAATTAAGTGACCACATAGGTCGCCGGCTGGTATTGTAAGGTTAGCTAAAGAGAGTGAAAGAGTGTACACCGACCCTTGCTGTCACTTTGTACTCGGTGTGTCCCTTCTCGTGTGTGCGTGGGTCAGTGACGGTGAAAAAACGGTAGTATTCATCTTTGGGTTTTCGTGACATGTCCGTTGTCGGCGGTGAAAGAGAAGAAGAGCGTGTTTCAGAGGCGTAAAACACAACTGGAAATGGTGTAGCTGCTCTGTTGTGATCCTTCGGTCCCGCCCCTGCGCTCACTTCCGGGTTAGTGACGTATTTAAATGCGTGATTACGTCGTTTTGCGTCATGTTCAACTTATATATATATATATATGTATATATATATTTTGCATTTATCCCTCGTTACTATGATAGTAGAAGAACATGTTTGGGTGTACATACAATTATTTCCATTTTGGAAATCGTCAGAGTAGCATCGGACTTGAATATATTTTCTTTTTTGTTGTGTTGTGTTCTTGAAATTCAAGTGTTTTTGGAATTAGGAGTATGCCTTTCAAACCATAGTCATAGTCATAATAATAATAATAATAATATAATTTATTAATATGAAAAAGAAAGCTAAACACTAAAAACAAATATAAACCAATTGTATTTCATATTTAATATAATATTTTGATAGCTTTTTCACAAAGTGTACTAATAAGCATTGCAACCTGACACATTTCATTTCCGGTTGTAATCAATTAAGAGATATGAGAACCCAATTGAAATATTTCAGAAATGAATGGATACGACCTCAACATGCTTGTGAAAGGCAAGATGGAATTGTTTTGGTACAGAGAGTTGAGGCTACCCCATCAATTACATCCTGATGGTGTGTAATATAAGATTATGCTTTATTGTAATGGAAGTCGAGAGTGATCAAACTGTGTAAAATGTATAGCAATCTATCATCATCAGTGCTGTCTGCACTTAAACCTTTATTATCAATGTAAGAATCATTGAAATACTGCAGGGGGCACTAATGTTTTGTCTGTTAGACTCTAGCAGACTAAACGTTATGAATCTGAAGAACTAATTTAAAATGTATTTACCGTTAGGTTCCGTGTAAATACATTTTAAATTCATTTTGTTTGATGATACCTTTCTGATATAAATCTCTTTTCATATTGTCCTCGGGTCAAAGATGCTTATTTAAGAAACAAACACAATGGTCTCAGCCTTACCCTGTTGGAGACAATACAACAAAGAGAGCGACCACAGACAATGCTGTAATGCTGAGAAAGGTTCCAGCTGTGCATTCAACAAACCTATTCCAAGCTGTATTTAGTGCAGCTTTCCCATTAGACAATCGCTTCGAGATCAGAAGACTTAACACTATTTATTTTTCATGATTTCACCGGCCATTTAGGGTATTAAAATGGCTTAACCTTTCAGAAGATCCTCTTATCAATGCTCTATGTTATGTTGTTAAAGCGTCTTGAGGCCGTAAACGAGAAATAGCCTGAGTGAGAGTTTGTACCTTACAGACGCCTACAAAGGTCACTGCTTCTGCTCGGTTTTCCGGTGATTGCCTGTTAAATTGATGGTAACACGTGTAACACACACACATGAGGTAAATGTTTGATTTGCGATAACCTCAATACGGCTGGTTTGGCTTTGCCGGCAAAAAAGTGACACGCTCAGTAGTGTTGTGGTTAATGTGTGTTCAGGTTATATGGTTTTTATCTACATGTGGTGCAACTACTTTCACTCCACTAGTGTTCTGAAGTACTATTTCAAAGTACATTAATTTATGCCTTAATGTAGGCCTTTAGATTAACAATACTAAATATAATTCACAAAGAATTCACAAATAACTTAACATTGAGGTGTTAACAGGGTTAAATGATTAGATTACAATGAAATAATACACAGTATTCTGAAGTGGTTCCTCGTTTTTCACTTATATTTACAGTAAATACCAGTCTGAAGTACCCACACAGACAGATGTAGACACATTTTAGGTTACTATATGGGTGATATGATGTTATGTGCATTTTATGTACAATCGGCGCTAGCGTGACATTGACATGAGCTTATCGTTCAAATAGTTTTATGTCCATCGACCTGCGAGTTATGGGCCCAGCAGCTGTTAGGGCGTGAGCAGCATTGCATCAGTGAGCCGAACTGTTCATTCTCATTCTTCTCACATAGAGGTGCGTTCTTACACAACGTTCAGCCATTGTGTTCCCGCCTGAAAGAGTTGGCGGTGGAGGGAGAGTCAGGGAGACGAGAGGAAAAGCCGTAGCAGAGAGCGGGCCAAGCGCACAGGACACGAGAATGGAGAGCGTGAATAACAAGACGAATGTGGTACTAGGAGAGCGAGAGACACGTGAAATGCATGGTAATTATAATATGCTGAAACGAGACAAACGTCAGGGCTTCAGAAAAATGTGTTAATTTGCTACGCCGCTTGGAAAGAGTGTTATTTGAAAAATGAACATGGCGCCCTGGTTTATTCTCCTTTATATGTATGCCATGTGTTGAACGTACAAATGTAAACTAATTAGAGTCCGCTCTGTTCATTTTAGCTCTCCGTTCATGAGTGTAAGGGAGGAAGCCTTTCCACGTTGAACAGCCTGCGCTTTGTCTGCGAGAGTAAACTAGGCCACACATGGGGAACAAAGAAGCAAAAACGAACAGGAGGGACGATACTACAGACAGAGAGGCCAACGGGGAGATCGGATGCAGAACAAGTTATTGAAATGTTCAAACGAGACACTGTGTGTGCGTGTGTGTGTGATTCCTTTAATGTACAACTGCTGTACAATGATATCAGTGAAACAAAACACGGCGGCAAAGACATTACACGACACGACAAAGCTCCCGTAAAGCACATCCGACAGGACTGAATATGTGCGCGTTTCAACCAACAACTTTAACTGATTCAATAAATATCAGTGCGACAGCGATCTCTAAACTTCTCCTTCTGAACCTGGACGACCTCAGTAGCATCATTCCTGTAAAACCAATAGTTTATTTGAATCTAATTTGATAATTGTCCACAGACTAGAATGCAGTGTACTTATTCTTCTGTCTGATCAATCACTCCAATAAGAACACACACGCACACACAAGCAAACATGCAGTTTTCACAAGAGGAAATTGCTTATGCAGGGACACAACACATAAATGTGTTTACTCACAACTGGACTTCATAGGAACATAAGCACTAGGAACACGTGTCGGTAGTGTGCTGAACATGTGCTCTCTCATAATTAAACATGCCATTTCCAGCACACCATGGCGAGGCATGTACACAAGAGTTATAGATACTTTTCCTAGAAGTCTGCTGTTCAACAACCTGGAAAGGTCTCAGGAAGCGCAAATAGTGACGGCAACAAAGTGAAATAATCAGCCATGTCAACAAGAGCCAGACATTTTTGAATGAGCTATTTTAGGAACCACTAACAGAAAGGACTTTAGTTGTTTTGTCTGCTTTTGTTTATTTGAATGTGTTGTTGTAGGCTATTTAATGGTAATAAGTAGGAAGATGGGTTTATCTGGACCTGGTGAGACAAATAGGTCAAATCAAGTACTCCTAATTAACCGCTTGCTAATGCAGACCAATCCAGTCTACGTATGATGTAAAGACTTTCCACATAACAATATTGTATGAGAGAGTAAACTTGGCCACACATGGGGAACAAAGAAGCAAAAACGAACAGGAGGGACGATACTACAGACAGAGGCCAACGGGGAGATCGGATGCAGAACAAGTTATTGAAATGTTCAAACGAGACGCTGTGTGTGCGTGTGTGTGTGATTCCTTTAATGTACAACTGCTGTACAATGATATCAGTGAACCAAAACACGGCGGCAAAGACATTACACGACACGACAAAGCCCCCGTAAAGCACATCCGACAGGACTGAATATGTGCGCGTTTCAACCAACAACTTTAACTGATTCAATAAATATCAGTGCGACAGCGATCTCTAAACTTCTCCTGAACTGTTCAGGACTGAAACGTTGCCTGAGACAACGACATGAAAGCACTGGACAGCCAAACTGGTTTAAACTGGGCCAGGTCTGCTTTGCAGTGGGGGGGTTTTTTCCTCCAAACTCACGCTGTCTTGCAAAATAAACTCTCTCAGAGGGATCAGAGGGGATTTATAGTGAGGCCCAGTGTGTGTATTTGTGTGTGTATGCGTGTGTGTGTCCCTCCAGTACTGCAGCCTGACCACTTGTTACAGAACAAAACAGGGACACAGAGTCTGTTTTTACCGACCATGTCAATCCCCACAAGGTTGTCGTAATGCTCTGAATCCATCCATCTGAAGCGTACGCCAAAAATGTGTGTTGAGTTGCGTGAAGCATTTGGTCAAATTCCACTTTTAATACTTTACACAATGACCATTTCCTCTCACTTACCCAACCTACTTGTGAACAACCACATAACTGATATCTGACATAACTCGTCGTGTCTTTCTGAAACCGTGACCTTAAACCGAGTGCAATGCACAGTAACCCCCTGAAGGCAACACAACTATGCAGAAACTACCCCCCGCTCCCCCTCCCTTTGTAAAGCTTGTGAATAGATTTCTTTCCTGTTAGTTCTGGTTCTCGGCGATGTGGCAACAGGACTCAGACAGCATGTGGGCAAAGACCTAAGGAAAGAATTTGCCACATAGCTTAAAGTTTATTTCCTTGAATAATCACGGCCGGGTTCGGGTTCCAAACTGTGTTCCGAGTTTTGCAACGGCCCCCGACTCATAAACATGTTTTCACATCCTCTGCCCGTCGTCCTCTATGCTCTGGTCCCTCCTCTCCTCTGAGCCATGTATAGCCACTGCTATGTCCTCCCCACCTCCCCCTCCACACACACACCCTGTTCCCGTGATTGTCTTTAGTGTACCAAAGCAGAAAAGTCATGAGGAAAAAGAGACGACCAGTGACGTAGAAAAGGAGGGTGTCTCTTTCCTGTTGGTTCCCTGCACGTCCGTCCACCAGCCTCCCCGAATCAACAGCACGCCGTGTCCACATTGGTTACAGCCCGACTCCGCCAAGCACACATGCTCTGCAGGCCGAGCTAAAAACAGAAACAGATGGCATGTGTTTGAGTTTGTTTGAGGAGAGAGCTTCTGTGTAATGGCAAAAAGATAAAGCTTTCACGCACAGGTTTTTGACACGAATTTAGCCCTCCCCCCTCTGAATAAGATTCTGGCCCAAATATAGAAATGCCTGCATTTAGAAAGGTGATGATGTGGAACAGGTGTTTGAGAATAAACCTGGACGACCTCAGTAGCATCATTCCTGTAAAACCAATAGTTTATTTGAATCTAATTTGATAATTGTCCACAGACTAGAATGCAGTGTACTTATTCTTCTGTCTGATCAATCACTCCAATAAGAACACACACGCACACACAAGCAAACATGCAGTTTTCACAAGAGGAAATTGCTTATGCAGGGACACAACACATAAATGTGTTTACTCACAACTGGACTTCATAGGAACATAAGCACTAGGAACACGTGTCGGTAGTGTGCTGAACATGTGCTCTCTCATAATTAAACATGCCATTTCCAGCACACCATGGCGAGGCATGTACACAAGAGTTATAGATACTTTTCCTAGAAGTCTGCTGTTCAACAACCTGGAAAGGTCTCAGGAAGCGCAAATAGTGACGGCAACAAAGTGAAATAATCAGCCATGTCAACAAGAGCCAGACATTTTTGAATGAGCTATTTTAGGAACCACTAACAGAAAGGACTTTAGTTGTTTTGTCTGCTTTTGTTTATTTGAATGTGTTGTTGTAGGCTATTTAATGGTAATAAGTAGGAAGATGGGTTTATCTGGACCTGGTGAGACAAATAGGTCAAATCAAGTACTCCTAATTAACCGCTTGCTAATGCAGACCAATCCAGTCTACGTATGATGTAAAGACTTTCCACATAACAATTAAAAAAATTGGAAGGCAATGCAAATTCCCGTGTAGACGGGATGTTACTTCCTCGTTGTATTGTTTAGCTCTATAATAAGAGCAGGATGATATCAGGCCGAATAGATTACTCACTGAGTGAGCAGAATCTGTGTGGTACAACTGAAAAGAGATGGAAGAACAGAGTAGCAATCTAAACTAATCAAAAGAGGAAAGACCTCGGGATGAGATTCCATCCACCCATCAGTCAGTTGGTCCTCAGTGGCTCATGCAACTGATTACATTATCTCCAGGACACGTTTACGTCACCAAACCTAATCATAAAGTTGTTTGTGTAAATTTGCGCATGTGTATGTGTGTGTGTGTGTGAGAGAGAGAGGAGGGGGGAGAGCAGTCGTCCCTCAGTGGGCGGGGCCACCGGGGAGCTACAAATACAAAGCAGCCGCCCTGCAACAGGATTACCAGAGCGCGCAGGATTAACGATAGAATAACAAAAAGAATCACACGGACGGACTTTAAGGTAATTTAAAATATATATTTGTGTATATATACAAGTAATGTTGTATATGAGTGAAAGAGTTTTGCGGGCACAGAACAGGCTGTAACGCTGTACTGTATCTACTCTTCATTGAGCCGCTTTAGCTGATGACGTGGAGATGTGCTTAATTTCATCATCTTTATTCTAGAAGATAAATGAAACCAGAGCAACGCATGTTACTTCAGTCCGCTCTTACCTTCGGTCACACGAGTTGGGCAAGAGTTTTTGCTTTTGTGGAACGAATTTTGAAACGTTTCGTTAATGTCAGAGAACTAAAAGACTCTCAAATAGACTTCCGGTGTTTCGACTCCTCGTGTAATTAACTGGTCGTTAAAACCTCACAGACAGGCTTAGTTCCATTTGAATGAAACCGGTCTTCCCGTGTTTGCGTTATGTATGAAATAGTAAGTGGCCGCCTCGTTTTTTTAAATGGAATTATTGAATTGTCATAACCGTCTTTGGAGCCTTTTTTTGGCTAAACACGTGTCACATAGACGAACTGTAGAAATAAAGAGAAATCAAATAATAAATACATTTTGTTTTTGATAACCATTGCCAAATGGGATGGCGATGTTTTTTTAAAGACTTCTTCATAGCGCTTTTAATACATTTAATAATTCCGCTTTATTTTGAAAGGTTGTTTCCGTTGTTCGTTAATAGTTTTACTACCGACAGTCGAACAAGCGACTCCGAACAAACATTTCCAAAGGGGTTTTCTGCCATTTTGAAGCTTTGGTATATAAAATAATACAATAAGTACAAAGTGCAAGTAGGTGACGTAACTTCCCAGCGCGTTTTTTATTTTCCTTTCTTGCGCGAAAAAATGAGCTAGCTGGAGCAACCGGCTGTTGGTGGTGATTTAATTAGCAAAGCTAATTTCTGCTTCAGCAATTTGCGCTTTTATAAAGTGTACGTTCGCATTTGATTTTAGCTGCATGTGAGATGTACTATTATTCGAGAGTTTCTCTCTTCTCCACTGTAACCGCGTATTTCTCCCCCCCTCCAAAAGCGATCATCAGACCATGAGTAAGGAGACGGAGATCGACATGAAGGACGTGGAGCTCAACGAGCTGGACCCCGAGAAGCAGCCCATGACGGCCGATGGCCAGGCCGCGGGGGGGGAGAAAAATGGCAGCGTGAAGCAGAAGGTCCCGGAGGACGAGGTCACGTTCACCGGCCTGTCCAAAGAGGAGCTGATGAAGGTGGCTGGCACTCCAGGGTGAGGGAGAGTTGCGAGAAAGTAAAATGTGCAGTCCGTACATTGGTGTGACATTTAAAAAAAACAAACCCCTTTCTTTCATGTCCAGGTGGGTGCGAACCCGTTGGGTGCTGCTGGTGCTGTTCTGGCTGGGCTGGTTGGGCATGCTGGCGGGAGCCATTGCGATCATAGTGCAGGCCCCCCGCTGCAAACCCATCCCCGAGATGAACTGGTGGAACGAAGGCCCTCTGTACCAGATCTCTGACGTTGACGCTTTCGCTGGCGGAATTGCAGGTAGACTATTTAAATGTTGCTTTTTTGTGTGTGTTTTTTTTTTGCTGAGGGTGTCCGCCGTACTCTCAGAAAAATGAGGATGCGGGACTATCTTCACAACTCGCTGACGCAGGACAAGTCTTGTGACAAGGTCTCCGGTTTCCTTGGTTCTGCGTGGCCTACTTGAGCGGGCCAGATACCAGACTGCTGACGAGGCTGACGACTGGTGACTCAAGGTCTAAAGGACCTAGAGTCTAAGAGTCATTTCTCTTATATCTCTCCTGCTCAGATGTGAGGTTGTGCAACCCGGGACATTTTGTTCCGGCTGTTAGTAGAATCAGATAATAAAAAAAGAAAGACTCCTTTTAAAGCATTAAAAATAAAAAAAGTTTTTTCAGGCGTTTATCGTTTTCAAATGCCACTGAACACAATTATAAGCAGTTTTTTTGCTCCTAATCGTTGATGACAGGCTGTTCTTAAAGTGAACTGGTCCGGAGCTCTCGGGTTTCCAGCAGGCCTCGGGCAGAATTCCAACAACTACACGTGACTCTGGTGTTTTCATATGACGGACCTCCTTGTGCTCGGACTTTACATGACAGAGACCGAGAAAGAGAGAGCGAGACTCTTTCTTTGAGTCAACATAAAGCAAAAAAAGAGCAGCTTCCTTGACTGTCTTAACACTCCTTTCTTTTTGACCCTGCGACCTTTCTCGCGCATACTGTCTTTCCCTGCTAACGCTACCTCCCCCCCTCTCTTCTTGTGTCTCCAGGTGTTGAGGCCAAGCTAGACGAAATCAACAAGTTGAAGGTGAAGGGCCTGATTCTCGGGCCCCTGCACACCAGCCAGGCAGACAAACCACCAGCCCTGAATCTTCAAGTGATTGACCCGACCTACGGGAACAGGAAGGATTTGGAGGCTGTGCTGGAAAAGGCCCACAAAAAGGGTAAGAACACGTTTTTTGGTTGTTGTTGGAAAATCGCAGACCAATATTTTTTTGAATTATATGTTGGGAAATTCTCAATTCATAGTCTGCAGGTAGGATGTCATGTTTGCTATTTTGGGCCGCTTTAGCCCAGATGTTGCTTCTTACTGTTCTTGTTTACTTCTCTTAGGTATTTCTGTGGTTCTCGACCTGACTCCAAACTATCGGGGAGCTTCTCCCTGGTTCAACAATGACGGTGTCAGTGATGTGATGGAGAAAGTCATGGTAGGACACAGACACACACACACACACACACACACACACACATTCATATGTGCTGTGACCCTTGATTAATTCACTAACTTTGAAGTGTGTTAGTGAGTCAGTAAAACTAATCAAGCTGTGTTCTCTTCCAGGATGCAGCAGAGTATTGGCTGAATTTGAAAGTTGATGGCATCAAGGTATCTGACCTCACTTTTGCCACCAGCTCTCCTGAGTGGTCCAAGCTACAGTCTGCTCTCCGTATCAACAGCACTGAAAACCCCAGGAAGAGGTAACCAGGGCACTCCTTGTTTTAAATAATGCTCGTTGGGAATGTAATCTCTGGACAAATAACTGCCAAATATTTCTTGACAAAAGGTGGAGATTAAAAGCATTCCAGCGCTGTGGGGGTTGTGGGTGGGTGGGGAACATAAGACCCCCAGGCCGATGCTGCTTTTACAAGCTCTGATGGTGAAGCGACACCCGGTGGATGGTTTGAGGAATGACACGATCAAATTGAGAAAAACAACCAGTTTTAACATCCGAGGGGGGTCATCTGAGATGCTGATCAGAATTCTATGCTGTTCCTTAAAACAACGTTTTACTTTCAACACCAGTGTAATAATACCTCGGTCCCTTCCTCTCAGGCTGCTGATGGGTGTGGTTGAAAGCGTGTCTGCCGATACTGTGTCTCAGCTCGTCAACGACTCTGGCGTGGATCTGGTTCTCTCTAATCTACTTGGCAGCAAAAAAGGAGGTAGGCTGAGGTTTCGGCGCATTCTTCGGACGGTTTCCATCAGTTTTTTTTATGGCAGGCTTCTATATATTTATGAACACGGTGGCATAATATTTTACTTTTCAATTCCTGCTTATCCGGTGTTTTTATTTCTCATCACGTCTATTTTCGGAGCCAACCGCTGCGTTCAAACAATAGTCCATCCGTGTGTGTGACGCTGTCAACAGGTGGTCCAAAGTAGTGCACTGCGTAAGATTCCTTTCCTTTTTCTGTGCGTGCAGGTGTGGAGCGCATCCAGGCCATGGACATCCTTCACTCCCAGCAGATGAGCCTCGCCTGGGGTCTGGGCGCCGCCCAGCGACAGCAGCTGTCCGAGCAGGCGACGAGTCCGGGCCTGATGCGCCTCTACCAGCTGCTGCTGTTCACCATGCCGGGAACCCCCGTGTTTACCTACGGAGATGAGATCGGCCTTCAGGCACTCGTAAGCTACACAACTGCGAGGACGTTTCGGTGGCTGTTGCAGGGCGTAACCGCTTTGTTTCCTCATCAGGGTGATGAGTCTCCTAAGATGATTTGGGACGTGGAGACGGAACCAGCTGAAGGAGCCGCTGTCAACGAGACCTCTGAGGTAAGCGCGTGTCCACAGTGACTGCTGCTTTAGAAGAGTCTTTTGAGAAAATACTGATTTCAACTGTTATTTTCTAACATTGCCGCCCCAATTGTCTCCTTTACAGGCGGCGCGTACGGAGCGCGTCGCCATGAGGAAGTGGTTCAGATCCCTCAGCGACCTGCGAGGAAAAGAGCGATCCCTCCTCCACGGAGACTACTACTCTCTGTCCTCGTCCAGCTCGTCCCTTTCCTTCCTCCGGGTGTGGGACCAGAGCGAGAGATACATAACTGCTGTGAACTTCGGATCGTCATCCGAGACGCTCACACTCAAACTGGCGCCCACAGGCAAGTTGGACGGACGGATGTAGTGAAGACGCGACTTGTCCCCCTCGCCTCCACACATAATTCTCATGAACTGCAATTTGTTGTGTTGTTTATTTATTTTTTTTAAACCGTGACCTTTTTGTTCCTGCAGAAGGACTGGAGCTGCCAGAGACGGGCACCGTGAAGCTGTCCACTGATGAAGAGATGGTGGTGGATTCCAGAGTCCCCCTGGACAAAATCACCCTGAAGCCCGGACAAGCCGTCCTACTGCAGTTCCCCTATACAGGCTAAAGATGGCGACAAAGTATCAAGAAAGCCACTTGCAGATTAGACTTTGTTTAGTCTTAAAAAGTCAGTCCCAATTCTTAGAATAAAGTGGCTTATTTAAAAGATAAAAAGGAATACGGTATAACTTAATTGGATCAAATCTGCCGTACAGAGTTGTACAAGCTCTGTTCATTTTGTTTTCAAAATGTTTCTTTTTTTTTTATGTACTAGAAAAAGACGCAGCCAACTCAGACACACACTCTTGTTCTTTTTGTGGTCTTTTATTGTCAACTATCTGTGCATTGTCCAAAATATCTGAAACACATTCCATTTTTTAACTTTTGGGCATTTCTTTAGCAGTTCTTTTGACTTTTATTTATCATAACTTAAGATTTATAGTGAAATCTTACTGTCTTTTATGTTGTTTTTTTTCTTTCTCACTAAAAGACATTTGAGTTTATTTCACGTTACCTCTGAACGTGTGTGCTGACTTGGTTGGAAGTCTTCTGGAGAACTGAATTGAAAATGAATAAACGGAAAGTTCTGTACCGACTCCTGCGCACTCCCATGTTTTTGTTTGTGATAACAATGTTTTGTGGATGTTCTTTGTACCGAAGATAATATCAGCTGAGACGTTCACTATTCTCAGTACGTACAGGTGTGTGTGGAAGTGTGTCACAGATGTTTACAGAGGAAGCACATCTATATTTTATCAACGTTTTATCGGCTGATTATACTCAAGTATAGGCCGTGCACGTACGAGTTTCTCTAAATGGGTCATCCACTATCCTTAAACTTCCCTTGTGTCACGTTTAGAAATGGCAGAGAAGACATCGCAATATTGCAGCTTGTTTCACAGTAATATTAAAGACTTAAATATAGCCTGAATTTGATTTCCCACAATTGCTTTCATACATGAATAATCGTGAATAAAGGTCAGAATTCAGTAGGACACGTGTTCGTCAGAGACTGTGCACGCGTGTGATTGAAAACCTGCCATCTTTCCTCCATTGCTAGAAACAGGACTTTAGGATGCTTTTGTTATTGGGTTCATATAGAGTACCGGTAGACCTGCTTTGAGGCACTGGAGGATATTTCCAGTATATTTTCAATTTTGGGTACAATTGGGCTGTTTTATGCATGTTTTTATTGTCCCTACAGAGCGGAAGACAAAAGTAAAACAAGCTACAAGTGTTGAGTCGGAAATTGAACACGGAAATATCTAGCATTTCTAACATAGTTATATATCACTCTAAAGGGGGGAGTTCGGCCTGATGAGTACTTTTAATTTTGATAATACATTTATTTATATAATTTATACCTTTTTAAGACAACGCTCTTTGACTCCAGCAAACTGAATCAACTTCAGAAACACATTCATGAAATGCTGAAACCTTTTGCCGCGTCAGACAGTCCCCTCGACAACTGAAAGTGGACGTGACTCTCGGGGTCTCGGTACAATACAGAGCCGCCGTGTTGCTGCGGTGTCACAGGGGAGGTTTGAAGTCGATAACGGGAATCAGAGCCCGTCTCGCCGCCTCTCTCCTCGCCCCACGCCGCTCTGAAACCCAACCACCATCTCACCCACCGACGTGCACACTCATGACTGACTCTCAGTCTGAGTCTGACACACACACATGCACCATTTACATCACAGTGACATGAAGCTGCATGACCTTTCATCAGCTTTCACCGACCCGAACATTGTTTTATTCTGACGTACAGCTGTGTGAGATGCATCCAACCTGACACTGTCAAATGGAAAGCCCTGTGAGTGAAATCAAGATACATTGTACCTTCAGAGAGCATATCACGCCTCACAATGTACGGAAACTAACTGAACCATTTGGTGTACCGCCAGGTCTCTGCATGGAGGGTCTGAAAAATGCTTGTTTGTGAAGCTTTTTTTGGTAAGATTTATATTGAGGTCTCTGGACTTGGTCAAGATCATTTCTGTAAAGACATTGGAGTTATGCCGTGTTTCTAAACTTGGTATACTTTGTATGTGCGTGGCGACTCAAACGTCTCAATGTGCTGTTAGCCAGCTTGAACAACATAAGTTCTCATTTGTTTCCTTGCCGAAAGTAAGACGAGAGCTAAAAAGCGCTTTCATCTTGAGGTCTACAGCTTCAAGCTTGTTTGCTTCAGTATAAAGGAATGAAACGGGGAACCTGCCACAGCCTGAACCCGTCGTTCCCACTGACCGACTGTCCAAACATCTGTGCAATCCAAACGTCCACCTTCCAAACGTTGACATTGACCCTACTGAGTCAATACTTTCGCTGCAAGTTTTTTGGGGTGTGCGTCCACCAGCTTTGCACATCTAGAGATGGAAATGTTCTTTTTGGCCTTTTGGTCAGATTAGATGGAGAGCAGCGATTTTCAAAGCTCGCCATAGATTTTCGAGGTGTGGGGTTTGACTGGGACATATTAAAACATTAACATGCGTTGCTCTAAAGTCTCTAAACCATTCCATTGTAGCTGTGGCTGCATGCTTACCGTCTTCTCCAGACTGCATCATATGTTCTTTAATGATTGCCCTGTATCTCCATCCATCATTACCTCAATTATTTTCCCCGTACCTGCCGAAGAGAAGCATCCCCACAGCTTTCTGGTGTGATCTGAACAGAGCACCTTCTTTCACGTTTTTGCAGTGTCTCTCACATCCAGACTCAAAACGGGATTTATTTTGGTTCACTTTCAACGGCGGCTTTCTTCTTGCCACCCTTCCATAAAGGCCAGATGTGTGGAGCACACGGCAAACCGTTGTCCTGTAGGCAGATTCAACCACCTCAGCTGTGATCTTTGCAGCTCCTCCAGAGTTGAGGCCTCTTGGTTTCTTCTCTGATACATTTTCTCCTTGTTCAACTTGTCAATTTGGGTGCATAACTCAACCTTGCTTCATACCTAACTTTATCTCTGAGCTGTTTGGTGAGCTCACGATGCTCTTTGTTCAGTAATGCTCTATAACAAACTCTGAGGTCTTCACAGAGCATGTGTGTTTATACTAAATTACAGACTTGCAAATATGACTTGTGAAGTGGTCGCAGCAGATCTTTGTTAGAGGTTTTACAGTAAAGGGGATGAATACATATGCAATACTTAAATACGTAAATAATTATGAAATCCGTGAAAACTTTTGCTGACTTTATGGACACATGATGGACTATTTTATGTTTGTTTTTCATTAAATCCCAATATAAATTTGAATCTGTGGTTATACCATGACAAAATGTAAAAACCTCCAAGGGGCTGAATACTGTGTGTGGGGCCCTTAAAACACCTACTGATCAAAAGACGCAATTAGAGAAAATAAGGGATGAGAGGGGATAAAAAAACAAAAAACACTCAAACTGAAAGTGTGTGTATATGTGCATGTACTGTGTGCGTGCGTGTGTGTGTGTGTGTGTGTGTGTGGTGTGTGTGTGTGTGTGTGTGTGTGTGTCTGAATGTGAGATTGAAGCCACACACTAGGGTGTTTTTCAATTGTTTCCACCATCACTGACACGGCTTGTAACACACACACACACACACACACACACACACACACACACATTGCCATTATGACAAAGTGTATGAACGACTAAAAGATGAACTGAGAGTGCGACAGTGTCTTGTTCGCCGATTGCCTCTCTCTCCTCCTCCCCCTTTCTCACACACGTGTGCACCTACCAGCAGAAGACACACACATGCCCTTCGCTGACAGAGTAACAGGTACGAAGACGTTTCTCTTTTTACTATTCTATCTCTTTAAGGCCACTACAAGGTAGGGGGTTTTGGGGATTTTGCATAGAGAAAGCTGAACCCAGCATTAGCATCATTAGCATTAACTCACTCCTTTGTCATAAGTGAACATTTGCTTTCATCCATCAACAAAAAGCCAGTGCAATTTATATTGAACTGAAAATACCAACTGTGCTCCCAATGAATATGTGATAGGTGGTATTGATAAGTACATGCACTGATGCATACTGTAACACTCATGCAACTACACAATCATCATGTACATCGCTAAAGGGACAAACGATGATGAGTTCTGAGCCTCGGCGTTACTCGCGGCGTTGCCTGGTTCTTACCCGCAGCATGTTGGTGTTTACGCCAAACGCGCTCTTAGACAGTGGGTCTTGAAAACCACAATCTTGACTTTCGTCGTGATCACTTTCTTAAGACAGCATGATGTGACAATGCAGGACCTTGGTGCGCAGCGAATAGAGGAAAGTGACTTGAAGTGTGGGATGAAACAATGGAGGCCATTTGTTTGCTGAGCCGTTGGCGGTGCATGTGTGAAACTGATATAACATCCCTGTACTTTATCACACGGGTTGCTTTTTATCGAACAAGTTATTAAACAACGAGTTATTTATTCAACCGCAGTCTTTTTTTGGAGGCTTTAATGTGTGCTGCGTCTTGTCTTCATACCAATTTAGTCCGTCCAAACTCATCTAAAGGACGGGGACAAAAGGCGAGAACAAGATGTTGCGTTGTTGCTGCTGTTCTCGACCTCCTTCCAGTCTGTGACCTCTTTTGACATCTGCAGACAGAACAGGGGCAACGCCCGCTCCTGCGTTTTCTTTTTCCTGCGTCGGGTGAGACGTCTTCTTCTGTGTCAACACAGGGCCTGAATGAAAACTCATCTGTTTTCAACATTTTTCAATAGCTGAAGATCAAGACTTGTCGCAGCCGCGTTCGTCTGCAAATGGTTTCGGCGTTGTTCATAGCATTCCACACTCTATGTGGAAGAAGGGGCGTGACGAGGAAACGGAAGAAGGCGCGATCAAAGAAGTATTCCACCGTCATTTTTGGAACAACTTATACAACCCATCTGATGTGCAATGCTTTTAAGTGTTTAAAACACCACCATGAAATGTAATGCCTCAAGCAGTACAGGCGCCTTCGGCAGCAATGACATCCTTGATGCTGCAATATTTCCATTGTCATTCTTTGCAAAAGCTCTATTACGGAGCGCTGCGGCCGAGGTGTGAACAGCCGGTTAAAGTTGTGCCACAGGTTTGGGTTGGGACAGAGGTTTGGATTTGGCTTTATGCTTCACAAGGCCTGCTCGAGAGAAGCATCCACCACGGCACGGTGCCGCCCCACCAATGCGTCCGGGTGGAGACGGCGTGTTTCTATGCTGCCGTGCAGCCTTCGGCATTTAGCATGATGGCCAAAAAAGATGCATTTTTCTTTTCCTTTTGAAAAATGTCACGTGACATTTCTTTCAACTATGCTTTTTGCTTTTTGCTGAATCTGTGTCTCCCTTCTCTGTTGTTTCCTTATGCTTGTGGGCCTCTGAGTTGCCTCCCTCACAACTTACCTTAAAAAATTTCTATGACCCGTCTATGTTCCTGAAGATTTTTATGGTGCAGTAATTAAACCCAAACTCTTATATATACATATATACATATAATATATACATTTAACTTCCATTCAATTGAGTACGGGACCTCCTGTCAATCGGTCAATCGGCTGTTTGATCTCGTGTTTTGAGCTTCGTATTTGCACTGACTTCACTTTTCGTTCCATCCAGTGTGATTTAAATCCGTTAAAAAGAAA